CGGGAATTGGATGATAATCAGGTAAAACTGAATAAAAAATGAAAGATTCTGAATAAGTTGGTTAATTTCAGTAAAAGTAAAATTCCAGCTATGTGTTGAATGACCACATAAGAGAAAGAAATCATTAAATGAGCAGCGTCATGACAAAACCAACATAATGGGTTTGCGACCAGCATGGATCTAGACCAGCATGCGCATCCACGCAGTCTGATCAGGATCCATGCTGTTCGTTATCAGTTTCTCTATTTGTTATAGGGTTTGTAAGCAAACAGCATGGATCCTGATCAGACTGGTCTGGATCCATGCTGGTCGCAAACCCATTATGTTGGTTTTGTCGTGACGCGGCTCAAATGTAATGCCATAATTTCCTTAAAATTTTATCATTTAAAATTATGTTATGATATTGTTAAAGCAGCATGCCTCAAGATCCATGTTTATTTCCATTACAATTTGGAAAATGTTTTTGAAAGTAAATCATTGTGAAGAACAAAGGAAGCAATTTACACATTGCAGACGGCACTTACAATATCCACGTAAAATAGCCCCTACTGTATTAGATTTTTGCTTGTTTTGTTTCTCTTTTTAGTCCTCTACCGGTTTACTGGAGGGGACTTTAGGTTTACCCTCGGTCCGTCTGTCCGCACTCACAGGAGAGTAATTATGTGGCTAGAGGGACAATAGGTAACTGTTCTTTCTCTTTGATGTCATTCATTCTGTAATGCTTTTATGTGGCTATTTTCTTTTGTGTGGCTAAAAAGAACAATAGAGAGAACAATAGAGTAGCCACATAATTACTGTCCTGTGAGAACGTCCGTCCGTCAGTCAGTCCGTCCGTCCACAAAACTGGATCCCGCGATAAGTACTGAAAATATTTTTATGAAACTTGATATATGGATAGATGGCAGTATGGAGATTATGCACGTCTTTTTCTTTTTTTCCTATGCTGAAAATTCTGGTTGCTATGGCAACAAATAGACTGAAAATATGGCAAATTTTACACATAACCTGGATCCCACGATTACGCAAAAAGTACTGAAAATATTTTTATGAAACTTGATATATGGATAGATGGCAGTATGGAGATTATGCACGTCTTTTTCTTTTTTTCCTATGCTTAAAATTCTGGTTGCTATGGCGACAAATAGACTGAAAATATGGCAAATTTTACACATAACCTGGATTCAGTTATAACGCAAAAAGTACTGAAAATATTTTTATGAAACTTGACATATGGGTAGATGGCAGTCTGGAAATTATGCACATCCTTTTCTTATCTTCCTATGTTGAAAATTCTGGTTGCTATGGCAACAAATAGACTGAATTTCAAGATTTCTGATTCTAGTTTTTAAGTTTTTTCACTATAAGTTCTTTATTTCTTAAGGTATTTTCTTCAAACTTTAAATATAAGTTGCTAGTCATCAACCACATCATATGTGACAAAGTTTACAACTCTAGCACAAAATTTATCAGAATTACCTCCCTTGAACTTAAAATTTTCATGAAAAAAATATTGTTTTTTTTTTAATAACTTCTTTTTTTCTGAATGTATCTACTTCAAACTTCATATATATGTTTCTTATTATCACTCAACATTTGTGAGAAAGTTCAATACTCTAGCAAGACTATTTCCAGAATTATGCCCCTTTGAACTTATACTTTTTTTTCGAGAAATTGGTAATTTTTACTCCAACTTCTTCAATCATGATAGGATTTTCTTCAAACTCCCACATCATAATAATATGACAAGGTTTATAAATCTAGCATCCATATTTCCAGAATTATCTCCTTAAACTTTTAATTTTTCTTATTTGTTCTTTTAACTTTCATTTACTTCAAGTTCAAAATAAACATTCATTATTCATACCTTCATTACTAATTGTTCTTTGTTACACTCACATCATGTATGACATCTTGCATCTTTTTTTCAAGAGTTATCTCTTTTTTAAAATTTTGCTTTTAAAAATGTTATATTTTGATTACTGGGATGTTTAAAAAATAACTGTAGAGTGTCCTTCAGTCTGTCTGTCTGTACATAAAAACTGTTTCCTGTGATCTTTTTTAAAGAACTTTTTCAACAAATTTACTTAAAATAGAAACATAAGTGAATGGCCAATGGCCCTTCAGAATGTTGCTGGGGTTCTCACCTGTAGGGGACTTATGGATTGCTTGCAATACTATGATAATTGCTTGTTGTTGTTTTTTTTTTTTTAATATGCTATACAGTATATGTATATGATCACACAACTGAGTGATAAAACATCAACATGTCCAGGTGTGATACGCCCTCATGAAAAATAATTCTCTCACTTCTTGATGTGATGTAACATAGCATAAATTTACTCAAAACAACTAAATATCCTCTACATGTACGCACATTTTTGGGTAAAACGTTTAACGACTACGGTATTTACGTTAATAACACCATACTAGAGCCTGTCAGACGACCATCTTATCGACTATTATTCCAGAACACATTCTCGTAAAGAAGATGAATATTACCTTGGAGCTTGACCAGCATTCAGATTTTTTCACCATATTTCTACTGCGTTACTAAAACAGCAAGGGCTATTTTTTGCATATTTGGCCATATTTCACCATATTTCTACTGTGTTACTAAAACAACAAGGGTTATTTTTTGCATATTTGGCCTCTTTTTGGTAATTTACATGTGTCACATGATCCGAGTTCTGGTGATCAGTACCATACCTAGTTTTGGCAGACATGTTTTTGTCACAAAAACCCCTTCTAGTTATCCTTAACCATCTAGGTGGAATTAATGAAATTCTATTGTTTTTAGCTCACCTGTCACAAAGTGGTGTCCGTCCAGTGTCTACCCTTAAACTTTTACTTTTAACAACATCTCTTCATAAAGCACTAAGCCAATTTCATGCAACTTCACAGGAATGTTCCTTTGATGGTCACATGTAAAAAATGTTCAAAGAATTTAATTCCATGCAGAAGTCTGGTTGCCAAGGCAACAAAAAAACAACAGCAAAAAATCCCCATAAAATATCTTTTAAAAAACCCAAAGAGCTAGAGCTTAGATATTTGGCATTAAACATCTTCGAGTGAGTGTCAACAAAGTTTGTTCATATTAAAGCTGTGGGGTCAAAATTGGCAGGGGGGGGGGGGGAGGTCATTGATTTCTAATATGTCTATTGTAAAACCTTTAAAATTCCTGCTTTAAAAAACCAAAAGAGCTAGAGCTTAGATATGAAGCATGAAACATCTTTGAGTGAGTGTGTACCAAATTTGTTTAAATAAAAGCCTTTGGGTCAAAATTGGCAGGACTGGTGTCTACCAAATTAAATGTTCAACTTGCAGCCCTTGGGTCAAAATTGGCCCTGCCCTGGGGTTCATTGATTTTCCTTATAATTGTATATAGTAAAAACAAAAATAAATCTTAAACTAGAAATGTGTCCATAGGACACGGGTGCCCCCACCGCGCCACTGTTCAGTCAATCTTTTTACTAAGTCAAGGGAAATAACTCTACAAATACTGGATAAATCCACAAGCGAAACCCCAGGTGCAAATCTAAATATGCTGAGCAACCTGCCCATTAGGTTTAATGACTATGTCAAATCCTTTTTGAGTAGCATGCGACACAAGTTGAAAATTGCAAAAAAATTCTAAGTGAAGGGCAATAACTCTAAAAATACTAAATAAATCCAGACAAAAATACCTGGTGCACAACTGCACATGCTGATCAATATTCCTGTAAAGTTACATGACTCTAGGTCAAATACTTTTTGAGTTACATGCGACACAATTTGAAAATTGCAAAATTTTACTAAGTCAAGGGCAATAACTCTGAAAATACTAAAAATATCCAGAAGAAAATACCCAGGTGCACAACTACACATAATGATCAACATTCCTGTAAAGTTTCATGACTCTAGGTCAAATACTTTTTGAGTTACGTGCGACACAAGTTGAAAATTGCAAAATTTTACTAAGTCAAGGGCAATAACTCTGAAAATACTAAAAATATCCAGACAAAAATACCCAGGTGCACAACTACACATGCTGATCAACATTCCTGTAAAGTTTCATGACTCTAGGTCAAATACTTTTTGAGTTACATGCGACACAAGTTGAAAATTGCAAAATTTACTAAGTCAAGGGCAATAACTCTTAAAATACTAAAAATATCCAGACGAAAATACCCAGGTGCACAACTACACATGCTGATCAACATTCATGTAAAGTTTCATGACTCTAGGTCAAATACTTTTTGAGTTACATGCGACACAAGTTGAAAATTGCAAAATTTTACTAAGTCAAGGGCAATAACTCTGAAAATACTAAAAATATCCAGACGAAAATACCCAGGTGCACAACTACACATGCTGATCAACATTCCTGTACAGTTTCATGACTCTAGGTCAAATACTTTTTGAGTTACGTGCGACACAAAAGTGAACGGACGGACGGACGGACAGACGGACGGAAGGACGGACGGACAGACGGACGGACGGACAAGGGTAAATCTAAATGCCCGCCACTATCATGGGGGCACAAAAAAAAAACCCAAAGAGCTAGAGCTTAGATATTAAGCATGAAAAATCTTATAGGTGTCTACCAAGTTTGTTCAAATTTAATAAAAGCCCTTGGGTCAAAATTTGCTCCACCCAAGGGGGTCATTGGTTTTTCTTATATTTACACATCTTTTGGAACTGTAGTTGATTTTCCCTTTTAAGCAATAGCAACCAGTAATGATGTTTTACACATGCAATATTTCAGATACAAATATGAACTATGTGATATCAGTTTAAGATTTAGATTTTATATCTGCTTTTGTTTATAGAAAACAATAGTACTAATACATATTCATTGTCATGGAGAGTTTTATATTCAGGGGAGCGATTTCAGGACCATCATGGCCCTCTTGTTTTTTTTTGTCAAAAAGACCATAAGAGTGTCAATTTTTACTTGATTTTATGTAGATATTGGTTTAATGTACCAACTGTTTGAAATAATAAGTAATATTTTTGTTTAGGAACAAATCTCAGTGAGACATGGGAGGGTAGAGAAGGTAGGATGTTCGCATTTGAGCTGATATTCCGTTACTTGATCAAGAATCATTGGTTGTATACATTTGGTCCGGCTGGGTCCGGTCTACAGATGGAAGCCGGTGCAAGGTGGGTCATTTCTTAAATGAGCCGCGTCATGACAAAACCAACATAATGGGTTTGCGACCAGCATGGATCCAGGCAGTCTGATCAGGATCCATGCTTGTCGCTTACAATTACTCTATAACAAGTAGAGAAACTGATAGCGAACAGCATGGATCCTGATCAGAATGCGCGGATACACAGACTGGTTTGGATCCATGCTGATCGCAAACGCATTTGTTGGTTTTGTCATGGCGAGGCTCAAATTACCTTTATAGTTAAAACTGATTAATTTTTTATAAGTTTGATATATATTTTATTAACCAGACTTTTTTTCTTTTTTTTTCAAAGAAGAATAAAATGGAGGTATTGTTACAGTCATGTCAACTTTTCGGATGCTGTTGCCGCCCTCAAACTTTTTTAATTAATTTATTGAATAAGTTGAATCATGATTAAATTGATTTATTAATAACAGTCATATTACAGATCAGTCACATTCATATTATAAATTAGTAATAACATTGGTTAATGTTGTTGATTACAGTAATTTGTAATTACAGTAATTGTTGATCACAGTGATTAAAAGTCATATCACTTACAGTGATTATATTGATAAGTTATAATATTGATTACACTGATATTGTTATTAATTACAGTGATTTTATTGGTTACAGTTATATTATTAATCAGTAATAATACTAGTTAAAGTCTTTAATTACAGTCATTGAGACCTAAAGTTTTCATTGATGTAAATTCAAATCATTTACAGTCATAATATGGATTTGTTATGTAATTGATTTTAGTGATAATGTATATTACAGTTATTCTTTTGATAACAGTTCTTACAGTGACAACATTTATTTCATCAGTAATGTGCAGTCATGTTAATGATTATTCTTAGAGCCTAGCTTTAATTAAGTGCATTGGATTTTATAACAATTTGATACTTGTTTTTTTGGTTTTACGTCTCACCTACACAGTATAAGTCATAAAATTATGTCTACTTCCCAACTTTACTGGTGGAGGATGACCTCAGGTGCCCTTCTGTGCACCTAAAATATTATATTATATTCTGGAAGTGATACATTTTTTTATTTTTTTTCGTGGATATTCTGTAATATGATGAAATATGTTTTGCTCTTGATTTATTCCAGCAAAGAGCAGGACACTAAATTAACACAAAGCAACATTGAATCTAAAGATCAAATGCAGGTAGGTTTCAGAGAACTAAATTATTACCAGAAAAATCTGTATTATTATCTATAAAGTATATTTATTTCATTTAGATATGATATGTATGCATGATGTGACCAAAAAATTGTGATGGAAATCAGCGTGAAAACTAAGTGTGTCACGTTTATTCGTTTAGAAAATTTATTAACCTATAACCAAGGTGAAATAACCGGCAAAGAGCCGAGAAAGTTTTAAATTGATTCTAAACCTTACTTTAATTTTTATAACAAGATTTGATATGAGCTGAAATACAAACAAAATGTGAGCCGCGCCATGACAAAACCAACATAGTGCGTTTGCGACCAGCATGGATCCAGACCAGCCTGTGCATCCGCCCAGTCTGATCAGGATCCATGCTGTTTGCTATCAGTTTCTCTACTTGTAAAAGGGTTGGTAAGCGAATAGCATGGATCCTGATCAGACTGCGCGGATGCGCAGGCTGGTCTGGATCCATGCTGGTCACAAACGCACTATGTTGGTTTTGTCATGGCGCGGCTCACATTTTGTTTGTATTTTAATTGTAGTCAACAATGTATTTTTTCAATTACTTGATATCTAATCGCGAATTGTACAACACTACTGAAAAAAGTTATTTTTATAATCGGATATGTATTGTAATCAAATTTAGCACTATAAAACACAACCAAAATGCCATATCTGGTCTGTAACACATAAAGTAAAAGTTAAAAATCTAAGAATTTTATTAGTACGGTCAGTTGAAAGTTAACATAGTTTTTAGGTTGCCGTTAATTTTTTGCTGACCATGACACGCCTAATCCAAACCAGACAAAGACATGACAAGAAAACTTTTTTATGAGAAATATTTTGGATTGTGTTATTTAACTAAGAATGAAGTATAAATTACTATTTTATGTTTTATTTTCAGCAGAACAGACTTCTACATCATGTAGAATCAGAGAAATCTCTGGCTGTAAGTTGTGTTTTAGATCTCTCTAACTTTGCATTACCGATAAGAAATTCATTGGTCAAAGGAATATCTTGCTTATGTAATTTTAGAATAATATAATGAAGTAGATTTATTTTTTACAATGTAATACATGTATTTATAGAATTAAAACATGACCTGCCAGAGTCCGTTGACACTATTGAATGTTCATGCTAAAAATCCAACCCACCAGATATTTGTTTGAATGATTTCATTGAGGAATAAAAAAAAAAGAAACTTCATTTTCTCCTCGAGGGAAGGGATAATATTTGAGTAAATTAATAAATATTATCATTTTATCTTTAAAATTTAGTATTTTTTAATAATTTTCTTATCAAAATTATTTGATTAGATCCATTTGATAAGGATTTGATTATTTTAGATAAAATTCTGGAGCTGAAATTTTTTTTATTGAAAGAAGCAATCTTTGATAACTTTCTCCATCTGACAGTGAAACATTAGAATTGACTTTAAAGCTGCTTGCCTTCAGATTCATACTAATTTTCAAGAAAATTTTTAAAATATATTTGAAAGTAAAGAATTGTGAAGTGAACAAAGAAAATAATTTACACATTGCGAACAGCACATGCAATTCAAGAAAATTACCGAAAATTAGTCAAATTAAGCAAAATTAGCCCTTACTGCATTACTAAGAAGTAAAACAGTCAAAATATGGTGATAAATACTGAAAAATCAGTCAAACATTGTGCATTATATGTAAATTATTACCTTAATCTTAAATCTGTTTACTTTTCTTAAAATCTTTGTACATTTTTCTCAAGTTTTAAATCTCTTGAAATATATTGGCTCATCTGGAGGCATGCAGCTTTAAAATGTTGCAAGAAGCTTAAACAAAAATGAGCCGCGCCATGACAAAACCAACGTACTGCGTTTGCGACCAGCGTGGATCAAGACCAGCCTGCACATCCGCGAAGTCTGATCAGGATCCATACTGTTCGCTTACAAACCCTATAACAAGTAGAGAATAGCAAACAACATGGATCCTGATCAGACTGGGAGGATGCGCAGGCTGGTCTGGATCCATGCTGGTCGCAAACGCATTATGTTGGTTTTGTCATGGCGCGGCTCATTAATGATTATCAGACAAGTGTTATTGAAGGGTTATGAGAGCATTTTGCATGATAATGTTATAAATAGGTTCCAGTGACCTTAAACCCGTTTAGTGAAAAGCTTCTATATACATGTATAATATTTTATACTGAGCTAGACAACATCATACTACAGGGGGGTTTCATTACGTTTTAACCCTTACCACACTAAATATAAATAATGGACTTATCCATCTGTCAGTATGGACCAAACCATTCCTCATTTGTAGGGAAGATTTCAAAATATGTACTGACTGAATAGCAAGCAGTGCAGATCATGATCAGACAGCACGGCTTTGCTGGCTGATCTTGATCTGTACTGCTAGCATATGAAGATTCTTTCAGGCTAAGGTTTACTTAAAGAACCTGGATCATTTCTTATAGTAGATGAGTAAATAAGTACCTGCCAGAAAAGCATATAAAGAAATTGCCTAATTTAGCCAAAAAGAAATTGTCTAATTTAGCTGTTTGGCTCAACACATTTGGAAGTTAGCTAAATACTTGGTCATAATGAAACCCTTTGTGATATCACATCATACATTTGTTGTATTAACCCATTACCAGATATATACGCCTTTCTACGCCTTTTTCACCCCCCTCCCTTTTTGCTTTCTCAAATGGTGAAAAAATGCCTTATTTAGGCCCCCAAACACTTGTTTTTGTTTGAGAAATGTTGTTTAAAAAATTGACCACTTTTTCGGCGCGGCCCCCCATCCAAAAGATACATCAGGGGGTTGCCAGAAGGGGGATGTGCCCCCTTCTGTTTGGGGGGTTTGAAGGGGGGCGGAGTCCCCCTCATCGCCAAGAAAATTTTGGACTTGTGGGAGGCTAAAAATGGCCCCAGGTCGATCATAAGGTAACGTGTAACCAATGCTGAAAAGCCTTTGACTCTATCTCAATCCATTGAGAAGTGGCAGCACTTTGAAATCAATTTTGATGGAAAAAATCAGCGCAAAATAGTGATTTTTGGCAATTTTGAGATGTCCCCTAGTTGCCATGGTAACAGGAAATTTCAGACTGAGCATGTTGTTACAAAGGAAATGGTCCAGTCAACATTTGTGCCAAGTTTGATTAGTATTGAAGCAGTTTTTATAGTTTTATAGCAACTTGAACTTATAACGGGAGACTTTTCAATGAAAACAGCCATTTTTCACAAAATGCTCATGGGGTAATGGGTTAAGAACTGTAAATTCTGTACATATTCTGCATTGGATAGAGAGTCTTAGGTTCAGTTAAATGGTGAAAATGTTGTGTCTGCATGGTGCATAAATTATTTACATGTACTGCTATCTGTTAGGAAAATAAATAACAAAAACATAGTTCATAAGCCTGTTCACCCTTAACCTGCTAATTGATTTTCCCTACTTTGAATTTGGAACAGTCCATTCAAAGTTTAAGGGATTTTAAAATCAAAATACAAAAATTGAGCTTCCAGCAGTATAGAAGCTAGTTAAAGTGCATGAATGAGCAGGATGGCCTGGCTCTATACTGGTGATGCTATTTTATTTGCTTTATAATCCTTAATTTCCTGAATGAACTTGTCTAACTTCCATTTTGGAAAAATTTTAGGGATTTCGCAATGAAATTGTGATTAGCCAATGATTCTACACTCTTGGTAAAAAGTTGAAAGTTTCAGAATTATAGGAGTCAGAAGTTTTAAATTTGGCTTTTTTTTCATGCAAAAAGGTCATCAGCTAAAATAAGGAAAGATTGTTGTTCTACCTGATTGTCTGCCCTTGTTTAGTGTCGTTCATTAAGAAAAATATCGTTGTCTACAAATGGTCAAAATGGCTCAAAAATTGCATTTTAATTTATGTTATTGCACCTATACCCTTCAAATTATAGACTAAATTTGTTTGAATTTTATCAAATTTATATACCGTTTTGAATTAACATTGGTATTGACTCATTCTCAGTAATGTATCCATATTTCTAGTACATAGTATTTTAATATACTATACAAATTAGCGGCCCTTTTCTATGTTTTACATAGACAAAATTTCTTCCCAGGCATTGCAAAAACAAATCATATGGTATGTGATAATTTTCAAAAGTAGTGTATATGAAATGAGCCGCGTCACGACAAAACCAACATAATGGGTTTGCGACCAGCATGGATCCAGACCAGCATGTGCATCCGCGCAGTCTAATCAGGATCCATGCTTTTCGCTTACCAACTCTATTACAAGTAGAGAAACTGATAGCGAACAGCATGGATCCTGATCAGACTGCGCAGATGCGCAGGCTGGTCTGGATCCATGCTGGTCGCAAACCCATTATGTTGGTTTTGTCATGACGCGGCTCAAATAACAAGCATGTAATATGTTATTTATAGCATGTCAGACGTAGAAATTGGCGACAGGTATTTTTATTATATATATGTATATTGCCCACCTTGTAGCAGTAAACCACAATTTATTGCATGTGGTGGATTTTCTCTATATATTTCATTTTAGAAAGAGTTACAGCCCTTTGGTGTTCTTTATATGCTAATTGTGTGCCCCTATGCATCATTTCATTTTAGAAAGAGTTACAGCCCTTGGGATTTTCTTTATGTGCGAATTGTGTGCCCCTATGCATCATTTCATTTTAGAAAGAGTTACAGCCCTTGGGATTTTCTTTATGTGCGAATTGTGTGCCCCTATGCAGCATTTCATTTTAGAAAGAGTTACAGCCCTAAGGTTTTCTTTATTTACAGGTTGTTTGCCCCTATGAAGCATTTCTTTGTAGAGAGAGTTAAAGCCCTTGGGATTTTCAATTTTTTTTTTGTATGAATTGCTTTTTCCTATGCAGGATTTAATTTTAGGAAGAGTTAAACTCTTTGTCACTTTAATATGCATGTAATGTGGTTTTTTAAGATGTTTCCATCATCAAAAGCTGACTGTAGAATAAAAAAAATTCACTCATGTCAGGTATTGAAAATTTTCATGAAAATAAATTTTTATATAGATTTAAAGGAAACTGAAAGTAGAAATTCAAAATTTTAAGCCTAGTCAATTTTAAATCTGAAATATTGATTTTTGCAAAATTTTGGCCTCATAAAATATCTGATTTAACAGTGTTCCGTATAATTTTTGGATATGTCAATGCAGCACACTTGAGCCTTTTTTTTTCATTAAATATTTTAATTTGAAAATTGGTTTGAAGAGAACATTTTCTGAAGATTATTTTATCTTTAGGCCTATGATATTGGGATTATGGCAAACCTATTCCGATATGCATGAGCTTTTGGTGATTTATTACGCTTACATACATTTAATCTATGAACTTGCAGTGTTTTTTTCCCCATCCTTTTGGGAACCTGTTAGGGCCGCCTAATAGGGAAATATTTTGACACATTAGGTCAAAATTGTTATCTGGAAAAAATCTGGAAACAAATGCAAATATGGGAATTTTGAGACAGTATATATACATTATTTTTATTTTATATTTGTTGATATCATAAAGAGTTTAAAGCAACTATGCATGCCAGAGAAAATGTTTTATTTTATCTTTATTTTTATTTATTTATTTGTTTTAAACATTTTTCACTATAACAGTATTAGTCAATGTAGTATGTGTACTGCATGTTATATACTGTAATCTTTCTTTTTTAAATGTTAGAAGTATAAGTTAGTATTTTATTTTGTCTTCTATTATATATTTATCCATGAAAGTGTTATGTTTTGAAGTTCATTAACATATGAGCCGCGTCACGACAAAACCAACATAATGGGTTTGCGACCAGCATGGATCCAGACCAGCCTGCGCATCCACGCAGTCTGATCAGGATCCATGCTGTTTGCTTACAAACCCTATAACAAGTAGAGAAACTGATAGCGAACAGCATGGATCCTGATCAGACTGGGCGGATGCACAGGCTGGTCTGGATCCATGCTGGTCGCAAACGCATTATGTTGGTTTTGTCATGACGCGTCTTATATAAGAATAGTTGAGACTATCACAGAACAGTTCACTAATAAAGCATGTTTTAGTCAAAGCCCCTTACTAATGAACAAAACATTAGTCTATAGGTAGGATACTGTGAATTCACTTAATTTCGTGGGCATGAAATTTCATGGTTTTGTCATATAGAACAGTTTTGCGGGTTCTTAAATTCTCGGACTGTTTATTTTTCCAAAAGGTAATATGTAAAATATGTGATGTAAAATTGTCTTACAGCATAATCTTTCGTCGGATCTTAAATTCTTGGATTGACCTATCCACAAAAGGTACAAAAATTAGTGACTCATAAATAATAATGATTTTGATATAGTTAAATAAACTGCACAAAACATTATATTTGTTAGCTAGAAATAATTATCATGTTATCACATTGACTTTCTATGATTGTTCATTCCTTTAATGCTATGTATAATGTTTAGTTGACAATTAACAACATGTGATGAAATTTACTTCGACTTTTTTTGCCATATGTAAGAGGTAATAGAAAAAGAATTGAAACATTTGCCTTATCCACAGCTATGGACATTGAAAATGCAAAACTGACATTGTAAACATCATGTTCAGGTCATGTAAAATCAGCATTAACTAAATTAAGTCTGTCTCCCCCAGCACAGCCGTAGTACCGATTTCATTGAATTCAAATGCTTACCTGATGAAGAACTAGATAGGTTCGAAACCGCTAGATCTCTATTAAAATTTTGTTCACATTTATCCTGTGTTGACGTGTGGTTTCTTTGTATTCTTCAATTTTAAACACATACCTATTTAATGGTAGAAATTTATGTTTCGAATATTTACATGGAGCAAGTTTGTGATAGACTGTCATTTAACAGGATAATTATTTAATATACATGTACAATCAAAATTGTTCAAACGCTACTATAAGAAAAAAGTACGTAATGAAAATATCAGTTTTTCATAATTTCTGTTCCGAAAATAATTGACATTTAATATGCAAGAAAAATAATCAAACACTGGCTGTCGGTACAGATGGGAATATCTAGCTCTCAGGTAACTGTTTAGCGGAAACTCGACAGAGCCACGTTACCGCTGTAAACAGTTACCCTCGAGCAAGATATTAGGTCACAGCCGGTGTAAGATTCCTATAGTTCTTACTTCCTGTCTGGTAAAAAAAAAATATAATATTCCATTACATTGTACATGTATACAATTTTAACACGGTACTCTGTCACTTAGTTGAGGGTGCTGTCTGTTGTTTTTGAAGTAGCTCAGCTATTTCTAGGACTACAATGTGATTTATATTGTGAATAGCTTGTTGTCGTTTTTTTTCAATGTTGAAAATATATAACCTATTATACCCAATACCACACTTACTTTGTATAATGGACATGCCCTGCTTTTAGATTTGTACTTTTTTAAACTTTTTGAGGATATTTATAAATTATCCTTTACATATCTTTTTACATATCTAACGTATCCAGGTTTAAAGTTTTAAAGAAACTTGATATTCAAAGGAAATCAAGAGAGGCCCTTCATAATCGAAGAAAAGACGAACCTAAATCATGGATCATTCTCCGACATATGCTTTTTGTGCTAAAGAAAACATGTTTTCAGTTCAACGGAAAATTTTATGACCAGGTATCAGGAACAACTATGGGAACAAAATGCGCCCCTAGCTACGCAATAATATTCATGGCACATCTTGAGTCGAGATCTCTACGAACACAAGTATTAAAACCGTTAGTCTGGTGGAGATACATAGATGACATATTTATGATTTGGCCGCACAGCAGACAGGAATTGAATTCCTTCATGGCCAGAGTGTTTAAACCAATTTCATGAGTCAATTAAGTTTACTTATGATATCAATCCCAAGGAAGCTAATTTCTTAGACACTCAAATTAGTAAGGACAACACAGGTATTCTTCAAACTACAAATTTTGAGGAACCCCCCTCATCGTCTAGTACAGAAACAGTTTGCCAAGATGAGTATGGTATGTTTAGTGAAACAAACGAACTCATTATAAACATTGGACAGATTAATGGGTTATTAAACAAAGCATAATTAACTTGTGATCCTTTTTATTCAAACAATATACATGATATACTTAATGATAAGCTCGTTGGAACAATGCCAAAACTATATCTATTATTAGCAACAATACTTCTATTTATAGTAACAAAACACAAAAAAGTATCCCTAAATAACAGTACTTCAGTAGTTAGAATTTGATATTTTTTAAGCCTGATGAAGAGTATTGTATTACTCGAAACTAGTAGCCAATAAAAACTTTTTAAACTTGACCTGGTGTTGTACGTGTGTTCCTCACCTACTTTATTCATGATTTGATATCTTTTTAGCTCACCTGTCACTAAGTGACAGGCTGAGCTTTTGTGATCGCTTTTCGTCCGGCCGTCCGTCCGTCCGTAAACTTTTACTTTAAATGACATCTCCTCATATACCACTAAGCCAATTTCATCCAAACTTCACAGGAATGTTCCTTCGGTGGTCACCTTTAAAAATTGTTCAAAGAATTTAATTCCATGCAGAACTCTGGTTGCCATGGCAACCAAAAGAAAAAACTTTAAATATCTTCTTTTAAAAAAACGTAAGAGCTACAGCTTAGATATTTGGCATGAAACATCTTCTAGTGAGTGTCTACCAAGTTTGTTCAAATAAAAGCCCTGGGGTCAAAATTGGCCCTGCCCCAGGGGGTCATTGATTTTTATGCCCCCGCCATGTAATGGCCGGGGCATATAGTGTTACCCTGTTCCGTCATTCCGTCCTTCTGTCCTTCCATCCTTCCATCCTTCCGTCCTTCCGTCATTCTGTCATTCCGTCATCATCAGTTTCCGTTCATTATCTTAAGAACGGTTGCACACATTCAACTCAAATTTGATATATGGATATGTCATGAGAAAATACAGGTCAAGTTCGAATTTGGTCATGGTTCGATGATTTTTGGCAGAGTTATGCCCCTTTTACTTTGAAAATAATATGAAATTTTCAGTTTCCGTTCATTATCTCCCCAACAGTACAACACATTCAACTCAAACTTGACATATGGATATATCATGAGAAAATATAGGTCAAGTTCGAATTTGGTCATGGTTCGATGATTTTTTGCAGAGTTATGCCCCTTTTACTTTGAAAATAATATGAAATTTTCAGTTTCCGTTCATTATCTCCCCAAAGGTACAACACATTCAACTCAAACTTGACATATGGATATGTCATGAAAAAAATACAGGTCAAGTTCGAATTTGGTCATGGTTCGATGATTTTTGGCAGAGTTATGCCCCTTTTACTTTGAAAACAATATGAAATTTTCAGTTTCCGTTCATTATCTCCCCAAAGGTACAACACATTCAACTCAAACTTGACATATGGATGCGTCAAAGGAATGCGCAGGTCAAGTTCAAATTTGGTCATGGTTCAATGATTTTTGGCAGAGTTATGCCCCTTTCACTTTGAAAGTAATATGAAATTTTCAGTTTCCGTTTATTATCTCCCCAATGGTTCAACACATTTAACCCAAATTTGACATATGGATATGTTTTTGGAATGCCCAAGCCAAGTTCGAATTTGGTCATGGTTCAATGATTTTTGGCAGAGTAATGCCCCTTTCACTTTGAAAATAATATGAAATTTACAGTTTCTGTTCATTATCTACCCAACAGTGTTACATATTCAACTTAAATTTGACATATAGATATGTCAAAGGAATGGGCAGGTCAAGTTGGAATTTGGTCATGGTTTGATGATGTTTTGGCAGAGTTATGTCCCTAATTTCACTTTGAAAATAATATAGATACATCTTAGGAATAAGCAGTTTAAGTTTGAATTTGGTCGTGGTTCAATGATTTTAGACAAACTTATCTTTCCTGAATGTTGGAAAAATTTTGAACTTTCAGTTTCAGCACTCATACTTTTAGCCATTATTTTGGCTACAAATATGCAATATGCTATTTTTAAAAGGTTAAGACTGAATAATTTCAGTGCCTTGAACATTGTATGAAAATGGTTTGTGTTAACATTGAAAAGTTTTAAGAGCTTTGAACTTAAAATGAAAAAAATAATTAATGCACCATCTGAAATTTTGGCTGCATGCGGGGGCATCCGTGGCATGATGACACATTTCTAGTTCCTATATGCATATAGTAAAAACATAAAAAAATCTTCTTTTAAAGAACCCAAAGAGCTAGAGCTAAGATATTTATCATGAAACATCTTCTAATGAGTGTCTACCAAGTTTGTTCAAATAAAAGACCCGGGGTCAAAATTGGCCCCGCCCCAGGGGGTCATTGATTTTCCCTATATGCATATAGTAAAAACTTAAAAAAATTTCTTTTAAAGAACTCAAAGAGCTAGAGTTAAGATATTTAGCATGAAACATCTTCTAATGAGTGTCTACCAAGTTTGTTCAAATAAAAGCCCTAGGGTCAAAATTGGCCCAGCCCCGGGGGTCATTGATTTTCCTTATATGTACTGTAAAGCAAAAACTTAAAAACCTTCTTCGAAAAAACCCAAATAGCTAGAGTTAAGATATTAAGCATGAAACATTTTCTAGTAATTGTCTATAAAGTTTGTTCAAATGAAAGCCCTGGGGTCAAAACTTGCCCCGCCCCAGGGGTGTCATTTATTCACTATATGTGTATAGTAAAAACTTAAAAAATCTGCTTTTAAGAAACCCAATGAGCTAGAGCTTAGATGTTTAGCATGAAACATCTTCTTATGGGTGTCTACCAAGTTTGTTCATATAAAAGCCCTTGGGTTAAAATTGGCCCTGTCGGCGTGGGGCGGGGGGAGCTATATACAGGTGAGCGACTTCAGGGCCATCATGGCCCTCTTGTTATTGTAAGTCCCGCAGCTGACCTAAGAAATTCATATTGTATGTTTTTAAGCTTTAAGACCACAGTCGAGTTCGGTTAATTAAATGCTATGCTGTTATCATCGAAATACATAGAGATACAGTTTCTATAAATCATACTCATTATAATAAGTGACTTATTTCCTATACATTATGCATGTATATATTTTAGGATGGAGTGGTAAGGAAGTTTATAGGCTACATAAATTATAAGTATCATTTAACAAGAATATTAATTCCTCGTTTTTCTTCAGCTCAATGACTTAGGCTTATGTGTTCTCTAAACATGTAGTTTGATCCTTTAAGGTCACCACGGTAATGCTTTCCCGCCCAAAAAAAATCTAACATCGACCAATATCGTAGCAAATCGGTAATTTCCGGAACGTTATTTTTTCAAAATCTTGGTATTTGATTATTTACAATCACTCATCCTTTATCGATATGTACTACATTCCAGTTTTAAACTGTTAAAAATTATTGAATACCGAAGATTGTGAAAAATTATAAACGTCTTGGAAATGACCGATTTATTAAAATATTGACCAGTGTTAGAAATCTTTTGGCAGGAAAACATTACAGTATGACTGTAACCTTAACATATTATATTACACTTTATTATGTAACCAGCATCTATAAATAACCTATCTTTTATATGTGCTTTAAAATAACTGTGGTAACTTTTTGCATTAAAGTACATACATGAATTTGTACAATATATCTTACTTTTCTAGTAAATGTTGTTTATATAAATGTGGTGCTAAGACTTGTGATAGATTAATTCATATATATTATGTTTTTCAACTTATTGTTATTTATGTTGGATTTTTTGGGTTTTTTTTGGGGGGGAGGGGTGTGGGGGTATTAATTGCTCAACTATGCAAAATATATATATTAAAAGACATTCTACCAACCCTTGCTAATTAGAATGTCCCTGTATTTGTTGTAAGATTTTACATGACTGTATTATCTTCCTTTCAAAATTGTTATTTATTTAGTTTATGCAAATTTATTTTAGTTTGATTGAGTCAGAAGCTATAAGCTTATTGAAACACTCACGAATTTGTTCCTGGAACCAACCAGTACTAAGCAATGATTGTAAAATTTCTTGTTCAAGGAAACAATGGCTTGCCACAGATGTTGTTTGAACCCACGCAGCCAACAATCCTTAGATTACTAGTCTGACGTATTAACCACTTGACCACACTGCCACTATTTATTTATTTCCTGGCTCTTTTCAACTCATTAGAGCAAACTTTCCTCTTTCATAAATCAAAATAGTTGTCATCTGTGAATATTGTATGACACAGTTACTTTAGCTTCGAGTTAGTTCGAGTTCACATTTTTTTGTCAGACACATTAGAATATTCAAGGTTGTATTACTGTTATACTCTCTTGCCCAAAAAATCCAACATTGTCCAATATCCTAGCAAATCGATTATTTCCTGTACGGTCTAACTTCTGGTTAAACAGTTAAAAATTATTAAGTACCAAAGATGGAAATGACCAATTTATTACGATATTGGCCGATGTTAGAATTTTTTTGGCGGGAAAGCAGAATGACTACCTTAATGTTTTATTATTTTAACCATATATAGTCTAATAACATAGTAAATAATAACTGATTTCTGATTCACCAGTGCTTTCTATATTATGACTTGGAATGTATACATTGTATATTTTGTATATATCGTCAGTGTGGACGTAAACTTGTACTGCCTTGAATTCAGGGAAGCATCCATTGTTACATAAGGAGATATACATATATAATTTAAAAACGAGGTATCCATGGCCAAGTGGTTACTGACTTCGAGATTACTTGCACCTTACTACTGCAAGTTCAAATCCTACCAAGGATTCATGTGGTGAAGATAATTAACAGAAGGGTCTAAGGTGCCCTAAAAATGTGTCTGAAATATTATGCATGAAGTGTCACCTGAGGTCATCCTCCATCAATAAAGCAGGAAAATTGCCAGTCACAAAGGGAGTCTGACTTATATCCCATAAAAAACTAATATTTTAAAACTTCTCTACTGGTTCCATATTATTTTCATTAAAATAAAAATGAAATATATAATATTGTATAAATCCAATGATGGCATATTAACTTTGTAGAATGTTTCACGCCCAGAGGTAATAAATTACTGATTTATAGATATAGATATATTTGGCTTTCTTTTACAAGCTTTCAGCTTTCAATTTTATTAGGTGATTCAGTGCTAGCAGTATATACATGGAGGTTGAATTGTGTGAATGCTTTGCTATGATATAAACATGTTTGAAGCATTGACGTATCTATGATGCTAAATACTTATACAATGTATAATGGTTTTTTTTGTTGTAATTTTATGTTGATTTAATGATGTAACTGATGTTTCTGAGTTTTTGACTTTCCCCATTAACAGTTACAATCAATCCTGTGAGCACAGGCCACCTAAGGGAGAGTCAAAACGTGGTCTTAATGGACAAGTGGTCTTTATTAAAAGGTTATTTTTTTGCATTTTTGTCCAGGGTTATCAAAAGTTGCTTTTATTTGCAGGGTTATCGTTATTCAAAGGTAGTCTTTATCACAGTTTTGACTGTATTCCATCTACTTATAGAGGGCTAAACTATGTTATATAAGATATGAACATATTGCCGGGATGAGTGTAGATTTTACAATATAAAAGTCCTGAGATTTGTGATATTTCCACACTCAAAATGCCATTATGATTTCGTAGACTTTTTTAAGTGCAAATACATGTATGTCCATTTACTGAAAAAAAACTTAAAATTTTGCATTGACAAACAGATCAAGCTATTTCAAACAGGCATAGGAAGTTACAAAAAAGCTTACAATTATTTTTACAAATTTATAATTGGGGGAAAGAATAGTGAAATGTCTATTTGTTGTTTATCTAGATGACTACTTTTTGTGAAGATTTCTGTATTGTAGTAATGGTAATAGAATTTTTCAGAAATCTTACTTTTAACTCAAAATCACAAATTGTAATACTTATTACGATGATACTAGCTGCTGATACTAGATGCCAGTGTTTAAGTTTATGATATCAAGTTTGTTGATACCTTGTTTTATTTAGACTCTATAATTGTTTTGTTTTCAGGTGAGATTTTTGACACAAGCTGATTTGAAGGAAGACCCAGAACGACTTGTCAATAACAAGTTAGAAAGGTATATTTCTCTCTCATAGTTTGTCCATGTTTGATAAAATGGTATCCACTGTTTAGTGCACAGGGAGTATGTTTACCGAACATGTCACACCAGTCATGCTCTTTGAAGAGAAATTTGTAAACCTAATAGTGATGAGAATTTCCCTATATGAAATTTCCATGCAATATAAGCAAGATAAGGCATGGACCTAAATGAAATGTGTATTGGAGTGGTGGTGGAGTTGGTGTTGGTAGTTTCAGGTCTCGACACTAACATTTTCAGCAGGTGGTATGCCGGACCACTGGATCCAAAATTCAGGTGTCCTTTCTGAACACAGGTGGTCCATCTTTTTTTTTACTCATTTGTTGTTAAGGAAACTTCAGATTTAGAAGAACTACACTTAAAATTGGTGACAGAGACATATTTATTATTAGATTTATAACAACTGAAGAAAACATGTATTTTTTCTATTTCAATCTTAGATCAGATAGTAAGTCATTGTAATCCTATTTAGTATTTATTATCTCATTGAAAAATACATGACAGTACTCATACTTCGGTTAAGTGACTTCTTCCGCAACTCAAGTTAGGGAATAGTGAAACCATTTGTGAATGACTTAATTCCTTACTGTTATTCAAATACTCATTGCTGTTTCCTGGTACATCTTAGTACATCTTATAAGAATAATAACTGCTTTTTATAGATTAACATTTTTAATTAAACTATTAAGTTATTTTATTCTTGTCTTTGAAACAATGAAAAATTAATGATAAACAGAAAATTCCTACATTATAATTGAGCTTATCTTCCTCACAGATTTATTATACATGCTTGTTTGTTGAAATTTATTTATTTTTGACAAAGTATTTATAACCTTTTAAAGTACTTTAAATAAGAAAAAAATGGATCTCTGATTGTTTAAAAAAAGTAGCCAAAGATTACTAGATATTTAATTTTTCCTTTGCTTTTATTTGCACCATTATTCATGTGTTTATCCGATATCCCATAGTGATACAATGTTATACTCAGTAATTTTCTACTTTTTTTAACTACACTGTAAGCGAGTTAATAAAAAGTTATGGATGTCTTAAGATCTTTTGAACTAATGAGATGAATGAACATATACCTGTACATTGGAGAAATGGTTTTAAACAACAATTATAGAACATGTTTTTCGACCAAATAACCATTCTCCCAGATGAGCCCTGCACCATTTGGAAAATTTAAGTGGTCTAACGGACCAGTTGCCTGTAAAATTAGGTGGTCCTTGCCAAAATCAGGTGGTCATGGATCAATGGACCACCACTAATGTCGAGGCCTGTAGTTTTCACACCGAGATCATGACAGTAAGCCACATTGCATTAACCAGAGCACAGTTCAACCACCGCTTTGTTCCTGGGCAGGCTGTCAAGCAGTTTACCAGAACTTGTTGCCTTCACTTTCGCAAGGAACTGAAACTTCTGTACATGCCAGAGCAGAGGTACAGTGCAAATGATTGTAGAAAGGATTTCATGATCAATCACAACAAAAGTGACCTGCGCCGTCCGGGAATTATCCAGGGTCGTCAGGGTTCACAGTCCAATGCTCTACACATTGAGCTAACCGGATGGCTTGTGTATTGGAGAGCCATATCCTTCATTTAAATACCGAGGGCCTAACAAAGGGAAGCAACTTGTGCCAATGGTAACCTCTTAGCTTTAATATGGCTGAAAATAAAAAAAAATCAATCTTCCAGTATCTCTATGAAACATGATTGTGAAAAGGAGATGATTAAATAGCATCACAATTGTAAATATATTGTTTCATAATGTATTATGTTCAAGGAAGAAATAGCTACCCATTCAATGTGTAAACATTTGATGATAATTTCTAGGAATGTGTGGTTACCTGATCAATGTAATGCATGGAGGAGCATTAATTTTGTCCCTTCCTCGACCAGTAAAGCTTCAAAGTCGCAAAATGACCTTAACATTCTCTCAGTCAGTGATCTTAAATCAAACAATATTTAAAGATCCTACATTCTCTCAGTCAGTGATCTTAAATCAAACAATATTTAAAGATCCTGTATGTTGTAATTAAGGTTGTTATGTGTGTTTTTGCGTTTGTTTACCCTCGCCACCGGAAAGAAACCATATGGGGGAGAAGGTTGTAATAACACTTAAGTGAAATTTTACACTTAAGTCAAATTTTTTATACAATGTATGTATATAATTATACTTCTAAATACAATTTCCAGACATCCAAGAATATGTTAAATATGTACTGCAAATATTAATGTGCATTATAAATAATCTTTAAAATACATGCATTCATTTCTTATTGAAAAATTTGGCTTAGACTTTATCAAAAATAAATTTCTAATAACCTCCTTTTTGTGTCGCTTCTACGGAGTAGTGGCGACATATAGGGATCACTTCTCCATCGTCTGTCAGACTGTCTGTCTGTCCGTCTGTCTGTCACAAAACTTGTCCGGACTACCCCTCATAAACTACTGGTGCAATTTCATCCAAACTTTACAGGAATGATCAGTACCAAGTCTAGTTGTGCATATTGTCAGCATTTTTCGGTTCAATGATTTTTAGCTCGACTTTTCTATGAAAAGGGGAGCTATCCTACTCGCCCCGGCGTCGGCGTTAGCGTTGGCGTCACACCTTGGTTAAGTTTTTCGTACCACCCCACTTTATTTCAGAAGTATTACAAGTATGGCTTTGAAACTTACCATACTTGTTCACCATCATAACCTCCATCTACAGACAAGAGTACATAACTCTGTCAAGGTTTTTGACAGAATTATGGCCCTTTTTTGACTTAGAAAGTGTATTGAGCTTGGTTAAGTTTTTTGTACCACCTCACTTTATTTCAAAACCATTGGAGGTATTGCTTTGAAACTGACCATACTTGTTTACCATCACGACCTTCATCAACAGACAAGAGGACATAACTCTGTCAAGGTTTTTTGACAGAATTATGCCCTTTTTGACTTAGAAAATACATTGAATATGGGTAAAATCCACTTATTGCCTTAACCCTTTGAGATATTGCTTTGAAACTTTTAATGCTATTTCACATCATTACCCCCATCTGTACGCAAGAGAAGGTAACTCTGTCAAGGATTTGTTTTAAAAATTAAGGCCTTTTATCGACTTAGAATCTTGGTTAAGTTTTTTGTACCACCTCACTTTATTTCAAAACCATTGGAGGTATTGCTTTTGAAACTGACCATACTTGTTTACCATCACGACCTTCATCAACAGACAAGAGGACATAACTCTGTCAAGGTTTTTGACAGAATTATGCCCCTTTTTGACTTAGAAAATACATTGAATATGGGTAAAATCCACTTATTGCCTTAACCCTTTGAGATATTGCTTTGAAACTTTTAATGCTATTTCACATCATTACCCCCATCTGTACGCAAGAGAAGGTAACTCTGTCAAGGATTTGTTTTAAAAATTAAGGCCTTTTATCGACTTAGAATCTTGGTTAAGTTTTTAGTACCAGTCCACTTTTTGACTGAACTGTTTGAGATATTAATTTGAAAGTTGGAATACTTGTTTACAATCATGATTCCCAAACATGTCCAGGAGAAGGTAATTCTGTCAAAGATTTTATTTGAATTATGGCCCTTAACTGTCAATGTTTTGTATTATAGGCAAGCACTAAAAAAGTCGAGCGCGCTGTCTTACGGACAGCTCTTGTTGTCAGAGTTATGGCCCTTTAATAATTTTTAATTTTAAAGTTTGTCTGGACTACTTCTCTTATACCACTAATGCAAGTTCAATGAAACTTTACAGGATTGATCTGTAGCTCAAGGCCTTGCACATATTGCACGGGTTTTCTGGTTGAATGATTTTTGGCCGAGTTATGGCCCTTTGAAAAAAAAGGTGTTTTTTCTGTGTGTTGCCAGATACACAAAAGCTTGTCCGGACTACTCCTCAGAAACTACTGGTGTAATTTTATCCAAACTTTACAGGAATGATCAGTACCAAGTCTAGTTGTGCAAATTGTCAGCATTTTCCGGTTCAATGATTTTTGTCAGAGTTATGGCCCTTTAATAATTTTTATTTTTAAAGTTTGTCCGGACTAGTTCTCTTATACCACTTATGCAATTTCAATGAAACTTTACAGGATTGATCTGTAGCTCAAGTCCTTGCGCATATTGCACGGGTTTTCCGGTTGAATGATTTTTGGTCAGTTATGGCCCTTTGATAAAAAGGTGTTTTTTAACCAGGTTTTCAACGAAAACCGAGTTATTGTAATGCCGAAGTCGGCAGGCGGGCGGGCGGGCGTCAACTTTGGGTTTCCGCTCAATAACTTTAGTTTGCTTTGGCCTATTGACACCAAACTTGGTGTGTAGGTAGCTTATATCAAGAGGCAGCTTGGGATTGCTACCCAGGTGTCCTTGATCAAGGTCAAGGTCACTGTTACTTAAAATAGAAAATCCTTTTCAGCTCAATAACTTAAGTTTTTTTTGGCCTATTGACACCAAACTTAGTGTCTAAGTAGCTTACATCAAGAGGCATCTTGTAATTGCTACCTAGGTGTCAGTGGTCAAGGTAACTGTTACTTAAAATAGAAATTCTGTTTCAGCTCAGTAACTTGAGTTTGCTTTGGCCTATTGTATATGGGTAGCTTATATTAAGAGGCAGCTTGTGGTTGCTACCTAGGTGTCTGATGTCAAGGTCAATGTGGCTTAAAATAGAAGTTCAATTTCTGCTTAATAACTTGAGTTTGCTTTGGCCTATTGACACCCAGCTTGTTGTATGGATAGCTTATATCAAGAGGCAGCTTGGGATTGCTACCCAGGTGTCTGTGATCTAGGTCAAGGTCACTGTTACTAAAAATAGAAATTCAGTTTCGGCTCAATAACTTGAGTTTGCTTTGGCCTATTGACACAAAACTTGGTGTATGGATAGCTTATATCAAGGTGCAGCTTCGGATTGCTTCCCAGGTGTCTGTGATCTAGGTCAAGGTCACTGTTACTAAAAATAGAAATTCAGTTTCCGCTCAATAACTTGAGTTTGCTTTGGCCTATTGACACAAAACTTGGTGTATGGATAGCTTATATCAAGAGGCAGCTTGGGATTGCTACCCAGGTGTCTGTGATCTAGGTCAAGGTCACTGTTACTAAAAATAGAAATTCAGTTTCTGCTCAATAACTTGAGTTTGCTTTGGCCTATTGACGCCAAACTTGATGAATGGGTAGCTTATATCAAGATGCAGCTTGGGATTGCTACCCAGGTGTCTGTGATCAAGGTTAATGCATTAAGTTTTCATGTTATAACTTGAGTTTGCTTTGACCTTTTGTCACCGAACTTGCTGAGTGGCAGCTTTGGATTGCCACTTAGATATCTGGGAGCAAGGTCAAGGTAATTTGCTTACAATAGAATATTCAATATCTACTCAATAACTTCAGTGCATTTTGACCTATTGATTGCTGTCACATCAAAACTTGGTCGTTGAAAACCTGGTTTTCGTCGCATTGCGGCGCTTCTTGTTTTCTGTGTGTTGCCAGTACGCAAAAGCTTGTCCGGACTACTCCTCATAAGCTACTGGTGCAATTTTATCCAAGCTTTACATGAATGATCAGTACCAAGTCTACTTGTGCACTGTCCGTCTGTCTGTCCGTCTGTCTGTCCGTCTGTCACAAAATTTGTCCCAACATGAAATTGGCCATTATGAGGCGACACATGTGATTACTGATTGCTCTTGTATTTACATGAAATGTAAATTTGGAAATATCTTTACAAATAATGCTTTATGGAACTTACAATATTGATAAATCTTCATTTGAGCATCATATTTGTGATTGTTTGTTTGCTTGTTTGTTTAATTGGGTTTTACGTCACACCGACACATTATACCTCATATGGCGACATTCTGGCTTTACTGGTGGAGAAAGACCTAGGGGCCCTTCCATGGATTATTTCAGGCATGAACAGGCACCCGAGTAGAACCACCGACGTTCTGTAAGCTAGCTGGATAGCATATATATGATATAAAACCAAAATAATTTGAGTTACAGGATCTTTAAGAACATGATCATGTTTATGTATTTCTGTATACACTGTATTACAGGTTAATCACTGTTGATCATGAAGACAGTACTGACCTTATAGCAAATCATCTCCCTCATAGAACTGCAGGGATTGGACCAAGTCACTCAGGGGCGGGGCTAAGTAACTCAGGGGCGGGACAAAACCACTTTGACAACGCCTGCTCTCTACTAACACAAGCTCAATTGGTTGACAACGTAAGCAGAGATGGTACAGACCCTGATAAGATTGATGTTAAACAAGAACAACAACTTAAAAAACTTACCCAACTGATGGAAAATAATAACAACAATAAAAACAGGTATTTTATTTCATGTTATTTTTACCAAAAAAAAAAAATGGCATGAGTGCCAACTGCTGCCTGAGAATGTGTCTGTCCATGTTTATATTTAATTTTTCAATGTGAAAATAATTAAGCTATAACTTGTTATCAGAAGACCATCAGTCAAAAAGAATATAAGTTTATAAGTATAAAAGAATTACTTTTATAGACAGTCTTGACTACTTTGCATATTGAAACATGATTGTTTCCTCAGACTGGAAGAGGTGCATCATGATTAATACATAATTTGTAGAAAATTATCCTCTGACATTTAATTTAAAACATGAGTAGATAAACATATTTTTTTGACATTTATCATGCTGTTAATAGAGGAAGCATTGGCTTGCCAGCATTTAATTACTTTTTCAAAGTGGGCGTCCGTGGAAGAGTGGTTAAGGTCGTTGACTTCATACCACTTGCCCATCACCCCTGTGGGTTCAAATCTCGACAGGGACTCTGTATTATTTCATGTAAGAAAGCTATCCAGCTAGCTTACATAACGTCAGTGGTTCTACTCAGGTGCCAGTTTGTGCCTGCAGTAATGCACTGTAGGCCACATAAGGTCTTCTTCTACCAGTAAAGCTAGAAAGTCACCATGAATATAAATATTACAGTAATACTTCATGTTAATATTTCAGTGATATTCCATGTAAATATTTCAGTGATATTTCATGTAAATATATCAGCTATATCCCATGTAAATATTTCAGCACTATATCATGTAAATATTTCAGCAATATCCCATGTAAATATTTCAGCACTATATCATGTCAATATTTCAGTGATATTCCATGTAAATATTTCAGCACTATATCATGTAAATGTTTCAGCACTATATCATGTCAATATTTCAGTGATATTCCATGTAAATATTTCAGCACTATATCATGTAAATGTGGCTGGATGGAGAAGGAATATTTACAAGATATGTCAAGGATACTTAAAGTGATTCTATATCAGACAGCAGAAAGTCTTGGACATTCACAATGGGAGTTACGCAGAATAGCTAACCAGGTACGTCGAAAATATTATGTTGTATCTTAATTATTTCATGAACTGTCACCTGATTTAGCCAGAAAAAAAGCTATGAGTACAGAAAGTGCTTGAATCTTCAGTACTTTTAATATAAAAAAAACTTGCATAAAGGAATTTTACATGCACATGCATTGGAAACTGAGTTATTTATTCGTTATATCATCTGTTATTGACTGAATATGAAGCTTTTATTTCTTGAAGTGTTAAAGGGTCAATCCTCTAGGTTTGTTTTACATGACAGGGCTTGAAATAATTTTTTTGACAAGTATTTTTAAGTCTGGACCAATGACTTGTGTTCAAAATTTCAAATCATTTGCTTTGCAATTGCGTTGCAATGCTTTTTTCTCAAATAGGGCTAAAAATAGCACAAAAGTGTGTTTTCAATTTATTTCTGAGTATATCTCTTACTCATCATTTGCATATCTTTCTGTTTTACATGCCCCAGTCGATTTATGTAGGAAATATTGAAATTTTATGTTATTAGGCTTTTTGCCCCCAGTGAAGTGTCTTTTAAATGTTTTCATAGGCTCACTGTTGAATTGATCATGTTGTCATGTCACAGACTTTGTACCATATGCTAAATATCTCTAGGTTTAAACCAAACATACAAGGATAACTCTATTGAACGTTGAAGTTATCCAGCTCTCATCAATGGTTCTTGGCCATGGTTCTTGGCCATGAGCACTTTCCATAACTAAAAGAAGGAACAGACAGTCTTCTTTCAAAAACAAACATGTAAATAAGATACACAATATATTATGATAAATGTATTTGATCTGTCACAAAACTTTCATATTTATCAAATCATGTTTGCAGGTGTTACCTTGTTTAGCTGAGGTAATAAGATGGTATGACATCAATCTTCTAGTGACAGTATGGAACAGTTATCTGAACGTTGCCGTGCCAACTTGTCTCATGACCTTCACCTCCGTCCTACTTCTTAAAGAATCTGTGATACATGCAGTGAAACTGATACCACTTCTACACAAACCTCCACACTCATGGCAGGTAAAGATATCCTTTCTACACAGACCTCACACCCTTTATAAGTGTTTCAAAATTCTTTATTCAACACTCATGGCAGGTAAAGATATCCTTTCTACTCAGAATTCACGCCCTTTATAAGTGTTTCAAAATTTTATATTCAACACTCATGGCAGGTAAAGATATCCTTCCTTATCAGACCTCCACCTCAATAAATGTTTCAAATTCTTTCCTAGTGGCTAAAAATCTACCTCTTCGGCAGCTCTCCACACTAATGGCAAATAAGGATATTCATAATTCACAACTCTCACCACTTAAAGCTAGGTAAGATATCCATGTTTCAAAACACTCCACACTTGTGTCAGGTAAGGAAAACCATGTTTAACGACTTTCAAAACAGCTCTGATGGCAAGATGAAAAGATATCAATATTTCACAACTCATAACGCTCATGGCAAGATGAAAAGATAGCCATGTTTCACAACTCATAACACTGATGGCAGGTAAGGATATCCATGTTTCCTCATGGCATTAAACAATACAAACTATCCCTTTTTATCTCAAAATGCTTTAGAATTTTTATACCCCCCATGCACAACGAAGTTGTAAGGGGGGTATACTGGAATCAGCTTGTTCGTCCATCTGTCCCTCGATCCGGACGTCTCCTTGTCCTTCGGTTTTTCCTTGTCCGCCCAATCACTTATAATTCCTTTGACCAACAGTCTTCATATTTGGTATTTGGATTGGTCATGACTAGTAGATAATCCCTATTGATTTTGAGGTCACCAGGTCAAAGTTCAAGGTCACAGGGGCTTTGACTAACAAAAGCTTGTCCACCCAATAACTTCAGATTCCTTTGACCTACAGTCTTCATATTTGGCATGGAGGTTGGCAATAACCATTAGAAGACCCGTATTGATTTTGAGGTCACAAGGTCAAAGGTTGATCATGACCATTAGGTGACCCCTATTGAATTTTAGGTCACTGAATCAAAGGTCAAGGTCAGAGGGGGCTTGATTAAAAAAAGCTTTTCGGCTCAATTGCTTAAGAAGGCTTTGGTCAACAGTCTTCATATTTGGTATTTAGGTTGTTTATGACTAGTTTTTATGACTAGATTTTTAGATGAATGTGTCAAAGGTCAAGCTCACAGGGATTTTAACTATAATAAGCTTGTCTGCTCAAATGCTTAGGAATGCCTGTCTGCAGTGTATTGATTTTGACATTTTCACATTTTAAGCACGTGGAATACATAACTAAGCAATGCACTGGCTAATGTAACCTCAGATTTGGCAGGAAGGTTGTCCTTGAGCTCTAAATGGCCACTGTTGATTCTGACAAAGAAGTATGCGAGGGTATTCACGCCATGACAGAGGCAGTTCTAGTTGTTTATAGAAAAAATATATGAAAAATGTCTATTAGTGTGACATATAACCTTTTAATGCAGTAAAACTGCTCTAGAAATTGATTTAGAGCTTTTGAACATTTTATTGGCTAAAACAATTTGTAGGGATTTTAGAATTAGAATTAGAAATCAACTTTTTTGTCAGTCACATTTGTGCATTTTTAAAAAATTTAAGTTCTTAATTTAGGGTGAGTTTAAAAAGAAATTGCATTATATAGAAATTTGTTGTAATCATACAGAAATTTGTTGTATTACATTTCAGGACCATGAGAAGTGTAGGGATTATTTATCTAAAATAACAACTACTGTTAAGGGTAGACTTCCAGCCTACCTACCCCACCTGCAGTATCTAATACAGAGGTCCAGTTATGATAAACTCTCAATTATCTCTTCAGATGTGATATTAATGGCATATGCTCACTTTTCTGTTACACCAGAACAGGTAAAAATATTTCATTTAACTCCATGACATTTTGAAAATATGTTCATCTCGAAAAATGCATTTTTGATAAATTAAGGTGGTGGTAAAAATATTTATTCAACTCAATGACATTTTGTAAAAAATGTTCACCTCAGAAAATGTTGCCAGTGAGGGTAAAAAATGAACTTAATAAAGGGACTCCACCCTGAGGTTTTTTTTGTCATAATGGGACTTGAAATAATTGTTTGATACTAATTAATGTTCCATTTGTTGTAAATCTTGACCAATAACTTTTGTGCAAAATTTCAGATCATTCGCTCTCTCCGTTTTTCCAGAGTAATTTTTCTAATCATGAAAAATGACATTTTTCATACAAATAGGGCGACGAATTGCTAAATAAATAAAAAATAAACCCAAACAATTATAGATTTCTTTCTGAGTGTATTTCTTAATAATCTTTTACATATATTTCTGTTTTAAATTCTGTGTAAAAATCTAATATTGTTTTCAGTATTTGGGCCTGAGAGGAGTTCCTTTAAAATAACAGACTCTCTTTGGCTTATTTGGCAATTTTTTGCCAAAGAAAAAAAAAAGAAAAAGAAAAAGCTTCAAGTGGTGATGGCAATATTGATAGTTTGTCCCACTTTATGCCCTTACAATGCTGAATATCTTGTCTATATGTCTGTCTTTCAATATGGATTAATCCATTTCTCAATTCTAGGGAAAATTAAAAAAAATGTACTGACTTAGTAAAATGGCAAACAGTGCAGACCATGATCAAACAGCATGGATGTGCTTGCTGATATTTTTTTCTGCACTGGTTGTATAGGTATAATCAGTGGCAACCAGTAGGCTGAAGCCCTTGGGTCTGTTATTCATTAAGGGAGTCTATGATCATTTTCAGTTCAATAAAAAATAAAAACCTTTCTCTTTCAGAAATCCAGCCACTATAACACTGTATTACAATTTTGGAAGCAGGTTTTTTACTCTGCCCATCCTCAGACTAGAATCTCCACCGAACTTCTACACAGACCTCAAAATGATGGGTTTTCCTCGCCATTTGAAGGATATTTAAGGTATTTTTGTTTTCATGGTATGACTTATCTCATCTGAATGACATTTTGATTGTCACTCCTGAATCCTGATACAAAATATGTATTATCACCCCTGAATGCTAATTTATGGTCATTCTTGATACAAAATATCTCTTGAATGCTAATTTATGGTCATTCTTGCTACGAAATATGAATTATCTACCCTGAATGCTAATTTGAGGGCTGTTTTTTATATAAAATATTAATAATCTCTCCTGAATGCTAATTTATGGTCAGCCTTGATACAAAATTGGAATTATCTTAATTGACAGCCATTTTTCAGGATTATTCCTTTTTCAAAATATCACAATTCTTTTGGTGCTTCAGCTTGTAGCACCTTGCATTTTACTAAATCTCTGAAAATGAAAAATTGCCAAAATTTCATTGATAAAATATAACGTAAAAAGGGTCGCTATGGGTCAAATGAGGAATGCTGATTAAATGAACATACATTCATTCTTTTGAACTGAAGATATTTATGTCTGTCCATCAGTCAGATTTGTAGTGCCATGGTGGTCGAAATTTCTTCTATTTTGTTTAATGAACCACTGGGATCTGAAAGTTATTACATTTCTTTTTCAGTTGTTGTTTGGTTAAACCAGATAACAAAATTCAATGTGCCAAGCAGGTAAGTTTCTATAATGACTCGTTCAATACTTACTCAAATATCAAACAAACAACAGAAATATTTGAGCCGCGTCATGACAAAACCAACAATGTGTGTTTGCGACCAGCTCGGATCCAGACCAGCCTGCACATCTGCGCAGTCTGATCAGGATCCATGCTGTTCGCTTACCAACTCTATTACAAGCAGAGAAACTGATAGCGAACAGCAGGGATCCTGATCAGACTGCGCGGATGTGCAGGCTAGTCTGGATCCATGCTGGCCGCAAACCCATTATGTTAGTTTTTTTCGTGACGCGCTCATTTTATCTTTTGTAATTGACTTTTTAACAGATTAAATTTTGGTATTTTGTTTTTTATTGCAAAATTAGCTGCATGCATGAAGTGATCGATTTGCATTAGTTTGTGAAACCCTCTCAAATAAATTTTATTTTTGCTACAATTCTTAGTACAGGTTGAAGTTTATTAGTACGTATTTACAAAATTAAATTGGTCAGGCACGGCACAGCCATGCGACTAATTTAATTTTGCAAATACATACTAATAAATTTTAACTGGCTGAGTGTTTTCAATTATTTTTATAGACAGTCGATTTACTAGACTGATTAACAGTTTGCCGATTTACTAAAGTAAATGTGTTACGATTCATTTGAAATACTTTAATCCTTTTGGCTAAAAAATAATTTCAAACACTAATTAGAGTTATATACTATGGTATTTATAATGATTTCATAATGATTTCAAAATGTTTAATATCTCTCCCCAAAAATGCAAACAAAAGGTTTCGTTTGGTTTCTTTTTATATATATTCTGCAACAATGTTTTAAATGACAGGTGGAGAAGTTGTTTATATCGGAGTTATATCATCAGTTTGTTACGTTCCTGGAGGGTCTTCCAGCTGTCGATGTCATCTCAGTTTCCCCGATTCTTGCCCACTACATAGGACAGTTTGTGGAGGACTCTCATATTAGTAAAGCAATGCTAGAATGGTAAGTATTGTCCATGTTAAGAACGTAACAATGATGTTTAACTTTTTATAGAACTACAATTGTTTATATAAGGTATTAACCTTACAAATCTCCCACATATTGTTTGTAAGGGAGGCAGGAATTGTTGAATTCTTCTTTGTTATTTTACAACACTAATATTGTGCTCAACTGTCCGGTCGGCTTGAAATGTAACTTCCATGGACTTTACTACTGTAAAACACTTATTATTCGCGAGAAATTTATTTTCGCTAATATTCGCGAGTTTTCTAAAACGTGAATTCATATTTCTCGCGAATATTTCACTTTGTCTATACACTTGTCCGAAAATGAACACTATCCGAAAATGCGTACACATGGATATATATATAGCTATTCAAGTGTCGCAGCATATACATATCGTACAGATTACTAGTAGTATTTACCTGTTATTGAGGAATTGGGAAAAAAAAACTTCTTCGCTGCATATTACCTGTGTCAAGGAAGGTAACTGTGACTTGCATAAACAAATTAATGCGTCGAACAAAATTTTAATGGTATTTCTACAGATTGTTCTAATTAATGTGAAAATCTGTTCAACTTAATGGATTAATTGAAATTCCAACACAATTTATCAAGGTCAATGTTTATTGAACAATACCGGCCTATAACTGACCGGAATAACTGTTTTGGTATTTGGTACAAATACTTTAGCACCTGCGAGTTGTTTGTAACATTTCTATTTATTGTATCCTATTGTATTGTACTACAGTTTAAGCCGGAGGGTAAATATAATCGTTTACTACAGGTTAGGCAAATTACAGTACCGTTTAATTGATTTTCGTCTGCTTGCCTTTGAATGGCTAATCAGTGAAACTTTAACACTTTGCATGCTGGGGAAATTAGGGACAATACATGACAAACACAGTGAACACATATCAAATAGTTATCAAACTTTATTGACATATTTTTAGGCAGACGGTTTCACTTAACAAGAAGATTAGCAAGCTATCAGAAAAATCGATACAGATATAAATGCATTCGTCGCACAATAAACTACGCAAAGTTAGTGAACGAACAGGACAGAAAATATCCGAATGACATTGGGTTTCCGGTTTCACATTTTTCGGGAAGAAGCGAATTCATGTTGACGCGAAATAATTATTTTGGACATTTTGCCTAAAATTCGCGAAATAAGGTTCTCGCGAAAAATAAGTGTTTTACAGTATACAATACTACAGCATGATAAGGTACATACCATGGTACAAGTCTCAGTTATCATGTTATACTCCTGCACCAAAAAAAGACAGATTGAACAATTTGTTACAACTTACTTAACAGTATTCATATTGTAAAGACTGTGTAATGCAGATAAATGCATTCTAATACTAGGAGAGTCACATGACATAAATTTGTACATGTTTGCAATTATTACACTACCATAAATGAGTTTAACTATATTGAATCAATCTCCTACGCAGTGATCTCCCTCCACTTTTACTATTCTGCCACGGGAGGTAATCACTGTGAGGTGTTTGATATTGAATATGCAAAGTTTGTTGACAGTTGTCTCCCTTGATATGTGACCAGGAACTTGCTGTTCTATACTTAATCTGTTCTTATTCTCCAAATATAAAGAGAAAACCTGTGCAGAGCTACCCCCTCAGTTGAGCAATAACCTCTTTATGACAACAGTTGTATGGTTTCTTCCCGAAATAAATATTCACATTAAAATTAACCTTTGTTGAGCAACACAGCACAGCAAGAATCAAAATCTTGGTCCTATAAGAGGGTGTTGATCTGCAGGGGTTATGCTATATATAAAGATTCCATGTTTCAGTTTGAGGGGGAAAATTACGACATTTTCTTACTTACTCTGACAATGCTTATAACCATTTTAATCCTTACTACCCTGAAATTGTAAATGGACTTGTCCATCTTCTAAGCTGGACAAAACCATTCAAAATTGTTTAGGGAAAATTTCAAATTATATATTTTTACTGAATGGTGAACGGTGTGGACCAAGATCAGATGACATGGATGTGACGGCTGATCTTGGTCTGCACTGGTTGCATGGATAGAATCTGGTGCTAACTGCAAGCGAAATATTAATATATATCATGTAATGTTTTTCAGTTTACAGACAAGTGTCCCCACTATTGTACTGACAATAGAAGAATGCAGTGAAGGAGAGAAGAAACTACAATGTGTTAAATGTGTACTGACTACACTGAGGGAACTTTCTGCTGTTATTGCCATGAAGGTAAACATCTTGTTATCAAACTATTTATTTCAATGGTGTTTTTATGCCACAGCAGCATCTAGTTTAATCGCCTATGTTAAACATTTTGCAAGTTTGCCTTTGTTTAACACATAGTTTTATTGCCTATATTAAACATAAAGTTGAATTGCCAATGTTTAACATTTAGTTTGGCGGCATGTCCGAGCGGTTAATGCATTGGGACATTGAGTAAGTAATCTAAGGATTGCTGGCCACATAGGTTTAAACCCCTGTCATGGGGAATGCTGTTGTTTCCATGAGAAAGAAACTTTACACTCATTGCTAAGTACTGGTTGATTCCAGGAACGGATTCGAGTGTGTTTCACTAAGCGTATAGCTTCCAACACAATCAAACTAGAATAAATTTGTATAAACTAAACACTGCGTTTTATTGCATAGGTTAAATCTCTTATTTTAATTGGGTATATTTATAAATTTCAGAGTATAGATTTACCCCAGGTACAGAAGATACTGGCTGTGTATGAGGAGTTATGTAAACCTGTCAGTATAAATCAACATATGTCTGTAGCATTGTCAGCCATAGCTGCTAGACTTAATGAGGTGGGTCAAATTTGTTAGTTATAATAAAATGAATGTCACATAAACCATGGCGTAGGAGTGTAATAAACCCATTTGAAACAATTAATATTACATAAGTGTAATAACACTTTGATATAGTGGCAATGGCGTTTTGTTCAACATAGCGTTTAAGAGTGCTAATGTAAGCGTTACACTATAGCAGGGTCAACTTTTTTAAACTGTAAACCGTTCTTATTTCAGATATGTAATGAATTGCATATTATATTTGTACAGATTCAATACTAAATTTATTGAATTTATTAAACTGGTTCAATAAATTTAGTATTAAACGTACACTCATTCAATATCCCCTATTTATCATTAACCTCAACAATTGATAGACATTTTTGATATAAAACACATCCACATGTCTAGAAGTTTGTTTCTGTTGTATGTATTATCCCTCAACCTGTTGGAACTGACAGTGATTAGCCTGTAACCAGGAGTATAGAGCCTGGTCAGGTATCACAGATGTGCAGGCTGGCCTGGCTATATACTGTTGGTAGCTCAATTTTTATACCTCAATATTGAAATCTCCTTAAACTTTGAATGGACTGTTCAAAATTTAAAGCAGCAGAAGTCCATTACAAAAATTAAACAGGTTATGGGTTAATAGAAATCAATGAAAGTAACTTTTCCATTTTTGGTTTTTTATAGGAAGAAATATCTTACTTCCATTGGCATCATTGTCTTACTCCAAGTCAACAGTACAATTTTGGTAATTTTTTTGTACCATCCCATCTTTTGCATGGTACCCATTCATTGAGATATTTTATTTATAATACTTGTTAATGACCATCACTTGCTGTTGGAAAAAATTGAATGGTTTTGACTTTATTTATTTAAACATTTGTATATTTCATATATCACAGACTGTAGAGTTTACAGTAGATCAGCCAGTACAAGATGAACTGTACCTACTGTCCAATGATATACCAGTGACTTATAGCGATCATAATTCTGATGATGACTCTGACCCTGAGGAAGTTATTGTAGGTAAGTTCATGGGTAATTGTGGGTAAGGTCATGGGTTATTGTGGATAAGTTCATGGGTTATTGTCAGCAACATCATTGGCTGTTGTAGGTAAGTTCATGGGTTATTGTAGGTAAGTTCATGGGTTATTGTGGATAAGTTCATGGGTTATTGTGGATAAGTTCATGGGTTATTGTAGGTAAGTTCATGGGTTATGGTGGGTAAGTTCATGGGTGATTGTGGTTAAGTCTATGACCCATTGAAGAAAGTTCATGGGCAATTGTAGGTTTGTTCATTGGTTATTGTGGATAAGTTCATGGGTTATTGTAGGTAAGTTCATGGGTTATTATCCCCCGCCGATTGAATCGGGAGGGGGATATAGTTTTGGCGTTGTCCTTCCGTCCGTCCGTCCGAATTTCGTTTCCGGAGTAGTTCTCTGCAACTACTGGCTGGAATTCAACGAAACTTTATGGGAATCATCAATATCAAGAGGAGATGCGCATATCGTCCGCTTGTTCCGGTCCGACCCTTTAACTCAGAGTTATGGCCCTTGATTAGTTATGTAGTATGCATATAGAGTTAAAATCGTTTCCGGAGTAGTTCTCTGCAACTACTGGCTGGAATTCAACGAAACTTTATGGGAATCATCAATATCAAGAGGAGATGCGCATATCGTCGGCTTGTTCCGGTCAGACACTTTAACTCAGAGTTATGGCCCTTGATTAGTTATGTAATATGCATATAGAGTAAAAATCGTTTCCACACTACTTCTCTGCAACTACTGGCTGGAATTCAACGAAACTTCATGGGAATCATCAATACCAAGAGGAGATGCCAATATCGCCGGCTTGTTCCGGTCAGACACTTTAACTCAGAGTTATGGCCCTTGATTAGTTCTGCAACATGCATATGGAGTAAAAATCGTTTCCGGAGTAGTTCTCTGCAACTACTGGCTGGAATTCAACGAAACTTTATGGGAATTATCAATATCAAGAGGAGATGCGCATATCGTCGGCTTGTTCCGGTCAGACCCTTTAACTCAGAGTAATGGCCCTTGATTAGTTATGAAGTATGCATATAGAGTAAAAATCATTTCCGCACTACTTCTCTGAAACTACTGGCTGGAATTCACCGAAACTTTATGGGAACCTTCAATACCAAGAGGAGATGCGCATATCGTTGGCTTGTTCCGGTCAGACACTTTAACTCAGAGTTATGGCCCTTGATTAGTTATGCAGTATGCATATGGAGTAAAAATCGTTTCCGCGCTACTTCTCTGCAACTACTGGCTGGAATTCAACGAAACTTTATAGGAACCTTTAATACCAAGAGGAGATGCGCATATCGTCGGCTTGTTCCGGTCAGACACTTTAACTCAGATTTATGGCCCTTGATTAGTTATGCAGTATCCATATAGAAAAATATTTGTTTCCTCGCTTCTTCTCTGCTACTACTGGCTGGAATTCAATGAAACTTTATGGGATACTAAGAGGAGATGTGCATATAGTCGCCTTGTTCCAGTCAGATACTTATAACTCAGATTTATGGCCCTTGATTAGTTACATAGTATGCATACATCTCATTGGCATTTCCAGATTTTACTATTTAACACAAATTTATGGCTCTGTTATTGCCCTGAATATTTATCAAGTTCAAAGAATATTACTGTTTATGCCATGAATAATATAAAAATAAAGCCTTATGTCTTCAGTTGTTGTGTTAATAATAACCAGTACTCGGCGGGGGATATAAATTCAACGAATTTGCTTGTTGTAGGTTAGTTCATGGGTTATTTTGGGTAAGTCTATGACCCATTTAAGAAAGTTCATGGGCTATTGTAGGTAAGTTCATGGGTTATTGTGGGTAAGTTCATGGGTTATTGTGGATAAGTTCATGGGTTATTGTAGGTAAGTTCATGGGTTATTGTGGATAAGTTCATGGGTTATTGTGGGTAAGTTCATGGGCAATTGTAAATTACTGGGTTACTGTAGGTAAGTTCTGAGTTAACTGTTATTGTAGATTACTTCATAAGTTATTATGGGCAAGTCCATGGGCTATTGTAGGTAAGTTCATTGGCCAATCATCTATTGTAGATAAATTCATTAGATATTGTAAGTTCATTGGCTATTGTAGGTATATTCCTTTGGGCTTGTTGAAACATGTCCCAGATTTATCTTCAAATACATGTCATAGAGTGACAGTAAAAAAAGTTCTGTGATCTTGATGCTAAAGTAGCTGTTGAATAGTTTCCTGTGCCTTTTAACAGTTGTGTAATGAATTTTGTCATACTCATGCCCTTTTTTATGCCCCCACATATGGTGAAGGGCATATATATTTGCCCTTGACTATATGTCCAGCTATCCTGCTGTCAAACTGTCCATCTACATGTACACATTTCCAGTTTATAAAGAGATTATAAGGACCTCTTCTTATACTACTTTCAAGTACTAAGTAAAGTTGAGCACACTGTCTTAGGGACAGCTTTTGTTAATTGTACAATTTTATTTAAAAGGTTCCCCAGGTGCTAGATTTCCAGAAAGTCTGATGCTAAACACCAGTAACAACAGTGGCAGCCTGACAGGACGTCTGAGTGCTCTAAGTTGCCATAGTGGGGGACTTGAAGGAAGTCAGGGGTCGGCTACCCCGAAGGAGGGGTCAGATGATGAAGGGGAAAGTTCTGATTGGGACAGCTGGGATGATGAGGACGAGGTCAGTTCCTTCGATGTATTTATTCTCAGTTATTTTTAAGGGTTGCTCACTTCAAATCACTTGACCCTTCACCTCTATGGATTCAAATCCAGTCAGGTGCTTTGAATTCTTTCCTGTGAGGAAGCTGTCCAGCAAGCGTACGGAAGGTTGGTGTTTCTACTCGGGTGCCCAGTCATGCTGTAATAATGCACAAATAGGCATCTGAGGTCTTCCTTCACCAGTAAAGATGTAAAGTCGCCATATGACCTTGACATTGTCAGTGTGATTTAGTATCTGATGAAACAGTCAATTTTTGGCGGCATGACCGAGTGGTTAAAAACAGACTAGTAATGTAAAGATTTCTAGCTGCAAGGGTTCAGACCTTGTCCAGGGCAAACTGTTGCAGCCTTGAGCAAGAAACTCCCATTTCTCAGTACTGTGTAAATACTTTTTGTTAAGTTTCATTGAAAATGATTTCTATCCTCTTAAAAAGATTTATACATTCTGCAACAAAATCTTGGGTCTGATGTAAAATTAGTAAAATATATTGGAGGTGTTTTTTTTTCAGGTTAATGGAGGAATTAATGCAATGCATAATGTTAAAAAAATAAATGCTGATACTGAGTTTTATTTGAAAGCATTGTTTTGATTTGTTTTTATGATAACCTAAAAATTAGGGGTGTGGATCGTTGGATAAGTGATGATCCGATCCATGATTCAGCACTTACGATTCACAAATCGAACCACCATCTTTTGTTATCAAGACACCTTTTAAAAGTTAAACATTAGTTCTAGAAACATGTTTATTTTTCTTTAAACAATTCTAAACATTAAACATATAAAATTATGAAAATACATGTATAAACTAGGTTTTTATTTTTTATTCTGGCATCAGTATCTAAATGTATATTTGAGCAACCTAAACAAAAGTATTTCAAAACATTGGAAGTAAATTTTGTTGGTGGAATTAAGGTAAACATCGCATAATTCATATACAAATTGTATTTTTTCCCCGACTCTTAGAGTGTGAGAAACAGTAAATATATATAAACAAATAAAATCGCGATCCACTATCTCAGGACTTACAAATATTCATACTCGATTATTCATTTTGATTAGTGATTATCCGAGTACTCGGATACTCGCCCCAGCCCTACTAAAAATACTGAACATTTAGCTTTGAAAACATTCAATATGTGTCAGCAATCTTCATAACCTTTTTGAATGTTCTCAAACTTCTTGTTTATTTATTTCAGAGTTTATCAGCATTTGGAGATGTGTTTTCACAATTTTTACAAAAACTGCAAAAAATGAGTAAGTATTATCAAATAATATTTTATTGCTGTTTTTATGAAGTAATGATATAAGGTAAATCAACATGTGTTGTGTAGGAATGAGGTAAAACAAAATGTATTGTGTAGAAATGAGTTACATCAACATGTGATGTGTAGAAATGAGGTAAAACAACATGTGTTGTGTAGAAATAAGGTAAAACAATATGTGCTGTGTAGAAATAAGGTAAATCAACATGTGTTGTGTAGAAATGATGTAAAAAAATACAACATGTGTTGTGCAGAAATAAGGTAAATCAACATGTTGTGTGTAGAAAAAAGTTACATCAACATGTGTTGTGTAGAAATGATGTAAAAAAAACATGTATTGTGTAGAAATCCGGTAAATCAACTTGTGTTTTGTAGAAATAAGGTAAATCAACATGTGTTGTGTAGAAATAAGGTAAATCAACATGTGTTGTGTAGAAATAAGGTAAATCAACATGTGTTGTGTAGAAATAAGGTAAATCAACATGTGTTGTGTAGAATTAAGGTAAATCAACATGTGTAGAAATAAGGTAAAACAACATGTGTTGTGTAGAAATAAGGTAAATCAACATGTTTTGTGTAGGAATAAGGGAAATCAACATGTGCTGTGTAGAAACGAGATAAATCAACATATGTTGTGTAGAAATAAGGTAAATCAACATGTGTTGTGTAGAAATAAGGTAAATCAACATGTTTTGTGTAGGAATAAGGGAAATCAACATGTATTGTGTAGAAACGAGATAAATCAACATATGTTGTGTAGGAATAAGGTAAATCAACATGTGTTGTGCAGAGATAAGGTAAATGGATGTGTGCTGTTGTAGAAATAAGGTAAATCAACATGTCTTGTGTAGAAATAAGGTAAATCAACATGTGTAGAAATAAAGTAAATCAACATGTGTTGTGTTGTTATATCCCAAATGATGGAACTATTTACAATTCTCTCTGTAAATCTTATTATCTCTAGGGTGTCTACCATGTAATTGCCAAATAAAAAAAGATATAAATAGATAAAATAAATTAGTTGGTAAAAAAGTTAAAAAGAAGATAACTGAAGAGTAAAGATAATACATTTTTTTCATTTTTTAAACAGTCTCAAAAATTGTTATTCTCTTTTTTAACAGAGTCATAAAATTAGTTCACTTTTGTAACAGTCTTGTGTTACAGATATTTGTCTTTTGAGATAATTTTTGATGTTTATCTTGAAAGTGTGAAATATAATTTTACCCAAAAAGGAAGAAAAATATAGAAATTATGTTCAACTTCATAGACAAGGGTCAAAAAGTTTATCAGTATGCTTTTGTAAAGGTTTAAAAGTTAAACATCTTTTATTATGCAATTCTTTTATTCTATTATTTTCAGACAAGACAGATTTCACATGCGAGGTGAAGAAGTTGGGAACCCGTGAAAGAAATGTTATCTCTGGGTTGATCAAAACGTGAAAAAAAGCATATGACCTTGACTTTTGAGAAGTTTCTGTCATAATATACATTTGTTTTTGAAGTTTGAAGTCATGTTGAAGTGGACACTTCCTGATTTGATCAAGATAGTTATGGTTTGTGGAATACTTTCATCAGAAGGACACATATGGTGGTTGAGTCTGCTGGATGGGGGGCAACTGAATCTACCCTTTTGACCAGTGCAGACCAAGACCAGTGGGCACATCCTTGCCATCTGATCATGATCTGCACTGTTCACACCTTATTAAGAGTCAGTTAGTACATATTTTGAAATTTTCTCTAAAAATGATGAATGGTTTTATCTAGATTAAAAGATGGACAAGTTCATTGAAGATAATTAGCAGGATAAGGATCTTAAATATCTGATCATGGTCTGTGATGTTCCCTATTTAGTCAGTAACATTTTTGGATATTTTCCCTTAAAATGATGAATGGTTTTGTCCAGATTGATATGTGAAAAAGTCAGTTTAAGATATTTTAGTGTTTTAAGGGTTAAATTGTTGTGATACAAGGAAAACCCTCTCAATTGTGTTAACATAGTGTTAACTGTGTTAACATAGTTCTTTTGAGTGGACATAGAGTTAGGGTCTGTTATTAACTATTGCTTAAGTTGATTATTTTATTTTTGATTTTGATTGAAATGTTTTAAATACTTTTATATGTAGAATACGGGTTTGCCAGAAATTTACTTTCACAAACACATCTTACATATCTTAACGTCCACATTTAAAAAATTAAAACTTGCCTGTCTGTTACGCTAAATTCTTAGTTTCAGACCTTAATCCTATGGGGAATAAGTGGTCTAGGGACTAAAGTTCAAGTATTAGCCTCTCAAACCAGAGACTGTAAGTTTGAGCTCAACTGAGGGATCAGGGGGTGGAGTCCTTGAGTGGTTCAGAACATGTGTCAGCATGTTATGCTATTTTGTTAAGCTAAAGGTGGTATAGACATAGGCATGATTCAAATAGGCTTCAAGCTTTTATAGCTTAGCTAAAATTAATATTAATTAATATTTAAACTGTTTTTTTTAAACTCTGAATTACTTGCACTTGTTTGTTTTGAAGTCCTCTCTTTTGTTAGAAAACACCTTGGAAATGGATTTTGATAAAAATATGGTAATTATAAGAACTATAAATCTATTATTCTATAACTAGTTCATCATTAAAGGGACTCTACTGAGGTTTACTGACATGTCTGGACTGGAAGTAATTTTTCAACATTAATCTTCCATTTGATGTAGGTCTAAACCAATAACACGTTTTCAAACTTTCAAGTCATTTACTCCGTTTTTACCAGAATAATAAAATGACCCAAAATTGAAAAGCTTTGCAACGCTTTTCACTCAAATCAAGATAACATATCACAATACAATTATCAATTTCTACTATGTATATTTCATTATTATCTTTTGCTTACCACTCTGCTTTACATGACCCAGCTGATCTATGTAAGTTCCTTTAAGGGACACCCCAAGTTTTTTTCCCCCCAGCATGCATATTGACTAGTGCTTTAAAGAACTGACATAAAACTTTTAAATTTATCTTCTTTTTTTTTTAAACATTTTTATGACACACCTTAGGGGAGGCAGGCAAATAGAATTGCCCCTGTCAGTCTGTCCGCTGTCTATCCATAGACTGGCAAAACAGTGGAATGTACAATGTAGGAACATTGCTTTTTCTGCACTTTACTTTAATGTAGGAAATTATTATTCAAATCTTGTTTGTTAAATCACAATCAAATTATCATTTTGTAAATTCATTTCATTTTCATGGTATTTTAAATTATTTATTGTGTCTTGATAGTATATAATCTAGAGCAGTGTTGTAATTTTTCTAAATGGGATACTCCGGGACTTGGCAAATGAGCCGGTTTTCCACTCGATCTGTGAGGGTTGGTGTTACAAAGTAAGTAAGTAAGTAAGTAAGTAAGTAAGTAAGTAAGTAAAGTCTTTATTTATCGAGGCAACACATTTGGATTCCCAAAATCTCATGTGGACAAACAAACTTTTACAATAACAACTTAGTAAAATATAAAATAATAAGCTTAAGGTATTGATCAGCTTATTGTGAATGGTAGTGCAAGGCAAAACTGTAACAATTAAAGTTTGTATCCTGCGATAAGATAGGGAAAAAAACACATTCGGCTAGTTCCAAATAACGTGTTTTATATTCACATCAAATATTATGCTCCTTTTATTTGCTATTGATATGTATTATGAAACATTTCTTGATAAATAACTGATCATCCTGTTCTTTTGTTACACAATGTATCTATTATTTAATGATTTGTATTATATTTTTTTGTTATGAATACCTCGGTTTTTGTTCCAGTGATAGCTGTGATATATTTTGTTCCATTATATTACCTCACAAAGGTGGAAGTGGGTTAGATATTATGGTGTACTATATAGAATATATTTGAAAATTTGTTTACTGTAATTTGTAAAATTATTTCTCTTTTTTTTTATGGCCCCACTTATTAGCGGGTACATATTTGCCTGTGTCCGTCCATCATGCTGTCAGGATTTTTATTGACAAAACTGAAATGTTGGGACATTTGTGTCCCTGGGTTGTAGATTGACAAAACAGTGAAATGTGGGGACATGTGTGTCTCTAGGTTGTAGATTGATAAAACAGTGAAATATGGGGACATGGGTGTCCTTAGGTTGTAGACTGACAAAACAGTGAAATGTGGGGACATGTGTGTCCTTAGGTTGTAGATTGACAAAACAGTGATATATGGGGACATGTGTGTCCCTAGGTTGTAGCTTGACAATACAGTGAAATGTGGGGACATTTGTGTCCCTAGATTGTAGATTGACAAAACAGTGAAATGTGGGGACATTTGTGTCCCTAGGTCGTAGATTGACAAAACAGTGAAATGTGGGGACATGCGTGTCCCTTAGTTATATTTTGTTTTGTGTGGGCAGAGGGAAGAGATGAGGGTGTATAGTTGAGATATAGATAGACATAGATCTGTAAATGTAATTTTACAAGGCATTATAAGTGCATTTTTGGTCATAAAATACATGTTTGTCAAGTATATTTATAAAAAATATTGTCACATGCATGACCTTACTTTATTTAATTCACCATTTAGCTGATAAAGGCTTTATGATTACAGCCATTACATTCCTTTTAAGGGACTCCACTGAGGATTGACATGACAGGACTCGTAATATTTTTGTAGGTTTTGACCAATACATGCAACAAATTTGATGATTTTGGAGTTATGACCCTTGGTGGATATCCTTTTACTTTTCTGATTTATGGAACTTTTATCAATCTGCATTTTACATCCATATAATTTGCAACCAACCCTGATTGTTAATTTCTTAATACAAAAATGCACAATGTATTTTTGAACATAACATATTTTTAGAACTTTTGGAAATGCACAATGATATCATTATCATTATTTAGTGAATTTTGATTATTAGCATTTTTTCAACTCAAGAAAAATGTATGTTTTTATTCTTTTTGTCGATTTCAGTAAAATTGTTATTATTATAAAAAGAAGAATTTGTCTGTTACATCATAGCTATAGTCCAGTATTGACGAATCATGGACTATTAATGTTTTCCATCAGCCCATAGGGCTTAGAAATTTGCTTTCTTGCATATTTGACCGCTGCTTTTGTTTGAAATTTAGAATCTCATTTATGATTTTGAAAATAATATCTGTTATTTGTTAATCGAATATCTGATACCTTATCTTGCCAACCATGCTGTACATAAATTATTCAAATGAAAAAAAGTTTACTATATGGTCATTACATTTTTTTGCATACTTCATTGTTGTTTAAAAAATTGATACCAAAACTTTGATTAAAACATGGCAAACCTTACCGTATTGTTTTTAAAATGCAATCATAATTTGTTGGGCATCATGTTTTTAGCTCGACTTTTCTATGAAAAGGGGAGCTATCCTACTCGCCCCGGCGTCGGCGTCGGTGTTGGCGTCACACCTTGGTTAAGTTTTTCGTACCACCCCACTTTATTTCAGAAGTATTACAAGTATGGCTTTGAAACTTACCATACTTGTTCACCATCATAACCTCCATCTACAGACAAGAGTACATAACTCTGTCAAGGTTTTTGACAGAATTATGGCCCTTTTTTGACTTAGAAAGTGTATTGAGCTTGGTTAAGTTTTTTGTACCACCTCACTTTATTTCAAAACCATTGGAGGTATTGCTTTGAAACTGACCATACTTGTTTACCATCACGACCTTCATCAACAGACAAGAGGACATAACTCTGTCAAGGTTTTTGACAGAATTATGCCCCTTTTTGACTTAGAAAATACATTGAATATGGGTAAAATCCACTTATTGCCTTAACCCTTTGAGATATTGCTTTGAAACTTTTAATGCTATTTCACATCATTACATCATTTGACTTAAACATTTCAAACTTTGCTGCAGTGTTCAAGGGTATCACACAATTCAGTAAAATAATTCTTCACTAAATATCTTAATGCTCATGGCCATTGTTCACTTTAAAAATACAGAGATTCTTGTATTGCCTTTTACTGCAAAAACTTTTTTTATTGGCAAGCAATAAAAAAGTCGAGCGCGCTGTCTTACGGACAGCTCTTGTTTAATCTGTTGTTCTGAAAGAAAAAATGCTTCAAATATATTTTCCATACTACGTCAGCTATCAGCATTGACCAGTTTTCTTTTCATATTTCAAGGCTTATACAATAATCCTAACACTGCTAAATTTGTATAATGGACTTGCCCAGTTTTGTATTTGGAACAGCCCATTGTTTTAAAGGCACATTAAGTTTTTCTTCCTTTAGAAAGAGCATACACTTGTTTTATAGGGTTGCAATAATGGATTTAAAACATAGTAAGATGTTTATCACATATGGAAAATTTTATCACATATGGAAAATTATGTTGAAAGTGAAACAATGTGTGAGTAATTAGGTAGTAAAATGTAAATAAAGTGGTATTTTGACTTCAATACAAAATGCTAGACTACTGTCATCATACTTAATGGCCAAAATGCACAAGAATAAAAAATATGGTTCAGCTACATGCATATGGCCAATAAGTATTTTTTAGGGTACTTTTGGGTAAATTGTAACATGTAGCCAAAATTAAAAAAGATTTTTATAAATTAAAATATATGCATTTTTAGGCTTTTAAGGAGTTTTTATTAATGGGCCTTTAAGAGAGTTTCAATATTAAAAGAGCTGAAATTGAGCATATCTGCCCTTACACTTATATATTTCTATAATGAACTTTCCCTGTTTAATATTTGGGACAGTCCATTGTTATTTTGAGGTATTTTAACATTCCAATATCTAGAATTGAGCATAATCTACCCTGATACTTCTATAATTTGTATAATGGATTCTCCCTGCTTTGAATTTGGAACAATTCATTTTATGTTTGGAGATGTTTCCACATTCAAAGAGCTGAACTTGAGCCTTCTATATTTGTAAAATGGACTCTCCCTGCTTTGAATTTGGAACAATTCGTTTTTTGTTTGGAGGTGTTTCAACATTCGAAGAGCTAAACTTGAGTCTTCTATATTTGTGAAATGGACTCTCCCTGCTTTGAATTTGGAACAATTCGTTTTTTGTTTGGAGGTGTTTCAATATTCAGAGAGCTAAACTTGAGTCTTCTATATTTGTAAAATGGAGTCTCCCTGCTTTGAATTTGGAACAATTCATTTTTTGTTTGGAGGTGTTTCAACATTTAAAAAGCTAAAATTAGACAGCCAACAGTCTGGTCAGTTTGTATTTCATCAGCAATAAGATTGTGCTCTTGTATTTTATTTAGATTATTTAGATTTATTATTAAAGTTTATAATGTGATAGTTTACATGTAATGTTACGCATGCTTATATAGATTTGTTACGTTTGATTTATTTATTATTGACTGAATGTGAAATTTTAAATAGTTTAGAGTTTTGTTGTTAGCTTGTCTGTTTCGAAGAAAAAGGCGAGCTATTATGATCACTGTGGTGTTGTCTTTTTTGTTGTGCAAAAATTTTAATCTAGCCCGTAATTCAAACATTTCAAAAGTTATCATCATGAAACTTGGAATACGGTACCTGCTTATAGGTGCAATAGTTAGACAAGGGGCATAATTCTGAAAGCATTTTTTTTAGAGTTATGCCCCTTTTTAACTGAGAATTTTAATCACAGACGAGTGTTAACACAGCATACAGTAGTCTTGTTTTATGTTAATAGTATGAATGCTTCTTCAAATGAATAAGATATTTTGCACCAATGGAAACAATAATGTTTACATTCGTAGATCATCTAAAATTTTGTATCTTTTTTAAAATAAGTTAGAGTTTGTGTCATATATTCATATATGTACACTTTTGCATATGTCAATCAAATATGAGCCGTGTCACGACAAAAACCAACATAATGGGTTTGCGACCAGCATGGATCCAGACCAGCCTGCGCATCCGCGCAGTCTGATCAGGATCCATGCTGTTCGCTATCAGTTTCTTTACTTGTTATAGGGTCTGTAAGCGAACAGCATCCGCGCAGTCTGATCAGGATCCATGCTGTTCGCTATCAGTTTCTTTACTTGTTATAGGGTCTGTAAGCGAACAGCATGGATCCTGATCAGACTGCGCGAATGCGCAGGCTGGTCTGGATCCATGCTGGTCGCAAACCCATTATGTTGGTTTTGTCATGACGCGGCTCAATTATTATGTCAATAAATTCTGGCAATAAAATTTAAATACTTCCAATCAAATACATGTATCATGCAAAAGTTTTTCTATATATAAACAGCTTTTATATATGGGCCATGTGGGGTAATACGGTTAATAATTTATGACTCAAATATTCAAGCACCTATTTTGGCCATGAATAAAAATTTTACCTACAGATATTGTAACTTTGGCATTGTCCACCACTAATTCAAGTGTAGAGGTTGACAGCTTCTTGTTGGAAACAGGCTTTTGCTTGTATTGAACACAGGAAAATTAAAGAAAATCAACTTGTACATTAACTGTTGTTGAGAAGGGACCAATTTATTTGAAAATTATATATTTATATATAGCATTCCAGCTTTTACTGTGATTTTGCTTAAATTAATGGACATGAAATTGTGTGGCTTTGCCAAAAAATGATCAATTTTGTGGGTTCTTAAATTTTTGGATTGTCAGCAACTAGCAACAATCAGGACAACGCCAATTGTCTGTTTTTTCACCATGGAAAATGAAATACAAATAATGCAAATTATCGTACAGCAGATGAAAAAAAATTCATTGAATCATGAAATTGTGACATAACACAACCAAAATTAATGCCCCATGAATAACAATGATTTTGCAGTATCTCTGATAATTGTTTATATAAGTAAAGTTTGGGGATCAATCTCGCCTATTTTCATATTTATTTTTTCTGATGTCTCCCTGTGCTTAAGTATTAGAAAACCTTTGTAGCATTGTTTTATTTTGAATATTTTCATTAAAAGGTATAAAATATCTTGAATGTGTTTCTTCTGTATCCTATACCCCACTCATTTGTTTTTGTTTATCATGTGTAATTTCCTAACAAATATTCAATGGTGAAGTCTTTATCATTAGTTTATACAGAATACATTTTAGTTGCGTAGTACATGTATAGTAAGGTATATGAACAAGCAAATTCGTTGAATTTATATCCCCCGCCGAGTACTGGTTATTATTAACACAACAACTGAAGACATAAGGCTTTATTTATATATTAATCATGGCATAAACAGTAATATTCTTTGAAATTGATAAATATTCAGGGACATAACAGAGCCATAACTTTGTGTTAAATAGTAAAATCTGGAAATGCCAATGAGATGTATGCATACTACATAACTAATCAAGGGCCATTAATCTGAGTTATAAGTATCTGACTGGAACAAGGCGACTATATGCACATCTCCTCTTAGTATCCCCAGAGACATAGATAACTATGTCTCTGGTATCCCATAAAGTTTCATTGAATTCCAGCCGGTGGTAGCAGAGAAGTAGCGAGGAAACAAATATTTTTCTATATGGATACTGCATAACTAATCAAGGGCCATAACTCTGAGTTAAAGTGTCTGACCGGAACAAGCCGATGATATGCCTATCTCCTCTTGGTATTGAAGGTTCCCATAAAGTTTTGTTGAATTCCAGCCAGTAGTTGCAGAGAAGTAGTGCGGAAACGATTTTTACTCTATATGCATACTACATAACTAATCAAGGGCCATAACTCTGAGTTAAAGGGTCTGACCGGAACAAGCCGACGATATGCGCATCTCCTCTTGATGTTGATGATTCCCATAAAGTTTTGTTGAATTCCAGCCAGTAGTTGCAGAGAACTACTCCGGAAATGATTTTTACTCCATATGCATATTGCATAACTAATCAAGGGCCATAACTCTGAGTTAAAGTGTCTGACCCGAACAAGCCGACGACATGCGCATCTCCTCTTGGTATTGAA